GCGGGGAGGGGTAGACATGTCCATTCGGTATTTAGAGCAGTGACCTGTGAGTGTGTGGGGCAGCTTGTACAGAATGCTGGGGGTCCCCATGCCTAGTTAAGAAGGCTCATGCAGCAAGTAGGGCACCCTTGACTCCTACCCCATCCATCCCCTCAGCCCGCCCTAGCACAGGGCACCTAGGCAGGTTTTCAAATAGGTAAAATGGTATTTGCGTACATATATTTTTTAAAAGTGTGTTTTTGTTGTTGCTGCTTGCTTATCGCACGTTGAGCATTCGCTAACAAACACCATTGTTTCCCAGGCATCTGTATTTCTTACAACTGAAGATGGATGTTTGCGAAGGAAGGTAATGAGAATTTCGTATTCTTCTTTTCCTGTCAGGCTAGCCAGATTCCTGGTTTTAATCTAATGAGCACTCATTCCTGGCAGCAGAATTCAATTTAAACAAAACCCGTATGTTGGGCTGTTTTCAACTCGCCTTGGTTTACAGAGGCTAGCGGTCGAGAAACTTTGTTCCATACTATTCTTATTACAAAAGATCCAGGGGTCTTTCTGGTAGAGACCTGGGGATTTTAAAGGGGAAGAAAAGACCCTGGATGTGAAATGGGCCTTAGTTCAGGTAGCAGAAAGGTGCAAGTTAGAGGCGCTGCTGAGCCCATGGTACTTCTGGGTGATTCCTCTTCTCTCTGGAAGGAATTGTGTTCAGATGTGAGCATCTGTTTGTGAGTCAGGACTCTGGGTATATCCAGGCCGTCCCAGTGCTTGGAAGGTAGCTGCGAGTGGCTAGAAACACAATTAAAATCCCAAGCCCACAGAACCCCATCTTCCAAATCCTTAGTACTTTCTTTCTTTTTAAAGATATGTTTATTTATTATTGTTAGAGATAGAGTGAATGTGTGTGTGTGTGCATATGCCTGTGTGTGCATACATGTTATGCCTGATGAATGAATGCATGTGAATATGCCTGTGTGTACATATACCTGTGTGTGCATATATGCATGGTGAATGAATGTGTGTGCATATATGCATGATGGATGAATGTGTGTGTACATATATGCATGGTGAATGAATGTGTGTGCATATATGCATGATGGATGAATGTGTGTGCATATAAGCATGATGAATGAATGCGTGTGTGCATATACCTGTGTGTGCATATATGCATGGTGAATGAATGTGTGTTTGCATATATGCATGATGAATGAATATGCATGTGCATTTGTCTGTGCATATATGCATGATGAATGAATGTGTGTGTGCATTTGTCTGTGCATATATGCATAATGAATGAATGTGTGTGTGCATTTGTCTGTGCATATATGCATGATGAATGAATGTGTGTGTGCATTTGTCTGTGCATATATGCATGATGAATGAATGTGCGTGTGCATTTGTCTGTGTGTGCATATATGCATGATGAATGAATGTGTGTGTGCATTTGTCTGTGCATATATGCATAATGAATGAATGTGCGTGTGCATTTGTCTGCATATATGCATGATGAATGAATGTGTGTTTGCATATATGCATAATGAATGAATGTGCGTGTGCATTTGTCTGTGTGTGCATATATGCATGATGAATGTGTGTGTGTGAATATGCCCATGTGTTCACATATGCATCATCGTACACATGTGGAGTTGGTTCTTTCTTTCCACCTCTACTCGGGCTCAGGGGATTGAACTTGGTCACCAGGTGTATGCAGCAAGTGCCCTTGCCTCCTGAGCCCTCTGACCTCCTGGTGCCTTAGCATTTTCTTGTCTTATGAAAAAAATCCACAGCAGAAAAAGAGCCCCATCTACTTCCACTCTACTCACCCCCACTTTTTCCAGGGGCTTTAGTTCTACTGCCGAGGGTCATCAGAGGCCACTGGCCTGCCGCACCACAAGGAGGCTGGGAGTTGTGCCGGGTGACATGAGACAGGAGCCCATGAGGCCAGTGAGACCAGTGTGGGTAGTGGGGGGGTCACAGCTGACCGAGGATTTCAGGAGCTCTGCTGCTACTGTGGCCTAGAAAACTCACTGTGGGTTGCTGGAGATAAGCCAAATTTAGGGTTGGTGGAGAAAATAAAAATTGGATTCCCCGGGACAGCAAGAAGGCTCTCCCATCCCCCATTCCAGCTGGAAGCCATATGTGGTGGACTTGGAGGAAAACAGAGGGCGGGCTTTTCATACCCAGTGGAGGCGGGTATCTCAGTCCACCAGACAGAAGAGAGCAGCTGCAAGGTCTTAAAGCAGAGGGCCAATACGTGTCTGTGTGCACGGAGAGGCTGAAAGAGACCAGCGCTTCCCTCTGCTCCGGTCCTGCAGGCCAGAGACGGGAGCCTCCGTGAGGGGCTAGCAGAACCGCTGACTGTTTAGTGATCACAGCCCACCCCACAGGAGCATCATCAACTCTCTGTATCTTTTCCCCATTGCATCCCTTCTCCCCCCAGCACAATCTGTGCACCAAGGCTGGGGACTCCTCTTTTACATTGTGAGTCAGCCTCATTATTCTTCAGAACATGCCTGGTTCCCCCTCTTGGGCTGTTCTCTGCAGGCATGGAAACCCGTTCTCTGGCTCCCTTATGTTCAGACACCTTGTTTTTCCATAAATACCGTCCTAGTGCCTGTTCTATGGGGCAGGTTCCAGCCCGTGCTGGCCACCTGGCCAGGGCCTCCCCTTCAGCCTTCCTGTACTCAGAACGCTGGGCCTACATTGTCTTCCTTTTTGCTTTCCCAAACAAGATGCTCCTTGGAGCGTCCAGATGAGTTAGGAGGAATCTACACCCTGAAGTAGGCCCCCGTAGTGCCTTGTCAGGTCCCCAGGTGGCTTCACCACCTGCTCTCAGGCTCATCCCAGGTGTGCATTAGGACATCTGTGGCCAAGGATATTATGGTTCCATTAGCATTTACCTCAAGATATCAACTTTTCTGACTGGTTTGACTAGTCACTGGTAACTGGTACTGTAGGACCATCTCTTCTCTGCAGAGATGGGTCATCCAGGGCGGTCCCTTTATTTGACACACAGAGGCCTGAACCCCAGAGAAAGAAATCTGCATAGGAGTAGATGGGACCCTGAGAGGAGAATGCAGGTTGTTATTGCTCTGGACTAAGTGTTTGAACAGCGACCATTCTGTGGATTTTATTTATTTATTTTTGGTATTTCGAGACAGGGTTTCTCTGTGGCTTTGTGGCTTTGGAGCCTGTCCTAGAACTAGCTCTTGTAGGCCAGGCTGGCCTCCAACTCACAGAGATCGCCTGCCTCTGCCTCCCGAGTGCTGGGATTAAAGGCGTGCACCACCACCACCCAGCTGGAATTTTTTTTTTCCCTTCAGTCTCCATAGGTTCTTTCCATTTAGTCTCAGCCTCCATAGCTTGTTTCTTGGCTGTCCCCCAAATCCATCTTCTAGCAAAGACACTAGCTAGACAGTAAGCTCATCTTGGTAGGAGAGTGCTCGTCACCTACCTGTCTCCCCCCCCCTCCCACTCTCCTGAAGATGCTGTGATTCAGAATGGACAGATAATGAGCAGCCCTAGGAGCATCCACAGATCCAGAGAGACACGAGTTTCCACTGGAACACTCAGAATTGCTTTACTCATGGACCAGGGGGCCTTCAGATAGGGGATGCAACCTTCGTATGTACCTCAAGAACCTGCAGGAGTACAGTGGACAGAAAGGGGGACTGCTGGGGGCCACCCCATTAGACAGGCAAGTGATGACTCACACGTGCGAGCTTCATAGGCTGCCATGGAAACTACATGTTCTCTCCGCTTGCCACCGGGCTGGAAGATGCTTTTAAAAATCTCATTGTCTGCCAGTGTTGCTGGTAAAGACGCTTTTCCCAGCCCATTCTTCCGCCCAGCAGGGGCCCTTGCTCCAGGTCTGGTGGCTGAGGTCTTGAGCAGACCACAGAGTCAGATTTGAATGGAGAGAGAAAAAAAAAAAAAAAAAGAACAAAGACTGGTGATGGTGCTGAGAACAGGCATCTGGGGGAGGGGGGGCAGTGAGGTTAACTGGAAATAAGAACAAATCTAGGCCAGGACTGGATTCCTAGTGGGTGGCAGAAGACAGAGAGACAGGCAGATGGTTGAGTCCTGAAAACCTCAGCAAGGTCCGTGGGTTGAGGAATCGTCAGGAGTTAGTGAATTAAGTAATTGCAATTGTTAAAACATAGAATGCCTTTCTTCGCCCTTTTTCCATTTTAAAAGGTGTCACCATTCCAGGACAGACGTATCCAAGAGTCCTGTAAGAGGTAGTCAGAGCCCAGCGAGTCTCGGGTCTATTAGAAAGCATGGAAGGCTGCTTGCATCTCAGGTTCCATTTCCTCCCTTTCCCTCTTGCAATATGAGCGTGCTACCCAACCTCAGACCGTCAGCATCCTGGCCTTTGTGGTGGTTATAATTTTAAACCAAAAGTTATTTTTTTTAATCAAAAAACTCTCGAAAGTATTCCCTGTATCATTTGAGAACAGTTCGTATCGCAGTTGCCTTTAAGATTCATGTTGCTCATTAACAGTTAAGGGAACAAAGAAAGCCACAGACTGTCCGTGATTTATGCGTGCCCATGGTTCTTCTGTCTCACCTCATCCTCCTCTCTCCCGACAGGTTGACGTGCCCTCTCAACTCAGCCGTGGTTCTAGCCTCCTATGCCGTACAATGTAAGTTGAGGGAGACTGACTAGGTGGTGGCCATCTTGTTCCAGCTAGCATATTGAGGAAGCCCCTGGCTGCTCTCTTTGAGGTAGTCTCTTCCCCCAGGGTCCTGGGATGGAGCGCCTCGTGCTGTCCTGAGAGTAAAGCTTTTAACCTGGCCCACACTCTCCTCTTACTTGGGGATATCGGATGGACAGTAGTGTGGCGGGGGAAGGAGCGGTGTGGTGTCTATATTCCCCCAGGGAGCTATGAAACGGCAGGCAGCTACACCCGGCTTTTTCCAGAGCCTCTGCCCAGGTATTTGGAACTGCTCTCCATACAAACCCCTGCGGAACAATATTTATATCTCCTGCCCCCTCCGAACATGGAAACTGAGACCCAGCTGGGTTACAGAATTTGCTGGAAGGCACCCCTGCTGCTTGCCTGATGCCCATCTAAAGTGCTGCTGAGATCTTATGAATTTATATTCAGAGCATCAGTGTAGCCAATGGGTTATGTGGGTTATGTACTGGTCTGTGACCATTCAGAAGCAGGAAGATCACAAGTTCAAAGTTGTCCTTGGCTCCATGGTGAGTTCCAGGCCAGCCTGGATGACTTGAGGCTAGCCTTAAAAAAAATATGTATGAAGAAGATAATTTGAATGTTTTATTTAGCCCACTTAAATATTATTTTAATATATAATCAGCATAAAAAAATGAATGAGCTATTTTTGAGGGTTTTTTCTTTTTCTTTTCTTTCTTTTTTTTAATTAAATCTTTGAAATCCCATCTTGGTTTTGCAATTTCCATGCATTTCCAATTGAACAAGCCACACGTAATTACGGGTACCACTGTGGATAGAAAATCCAGATAAAGTTTTCCCTCTAAGGCTGATTAAGCTACCGAAGAAATCTCTTCATTCTGTCATTAAAAGTTAATTGTATTCGGTGTCAGATCCCATGACAAGTGAAATGCCACTTTGCCTTTTGTTCACTGTGTGGTGTCAGCATAGAGCACCGTGTGACTTGTATTGATCTGTGTAGCAGCCTAAGACTGGAGTGTCTGTCCCCTCTGCCTTTTCCAGAGGTCTTAGCCAACATGGCAGGTGGCTAAGGAAGCACCCTAGGTCTTTCTGACCAGGTCTCAGAGCAGATGCAGACCCAATTACCCATCATTCTGTGGCCTCAGAAATATCACGGCAAAAGAGAGAGAAAGGAAAAAGGCTGCTGAGGAGGTCCCAGGTGCACGTCCTCCCTTAGCAACCAGGATAGCAACCAGAGAGGTGAAGAACATTGCTGGTGAACCTGCAGCTTACCTGCCTTCTGCATGGAACCAAAGAGTGGGAGAACGAGGGATACTGGGGTTGACCCCACGATGTTGAGCATACAGCTAGCCTCCTAGCCAGGCGGGGCACCCAGCATCAGCCCCATCTTCCCCGCCTCCTCTTCTCAGGATGAGAAACTCAAAAGAGGTTGCTCTCTTTCTGCGTCACCTCTGGGGCAGACCAGCTTGTGGCACCCACATGGGGAATGGCCAGTGTGTGATGCTTCCTGGGAAGATATGAGCCAACAGATAGGGCACCAACCACAGACCAAAGAAACTATTCCGTCCAAATCCAGGTTAGTTGGCCACCGGGTTTATACTTAAAGGAGCGTGGCTGACTTTAAAAGGAGCTGCTTCACCAAATTCCACCCGACATGGGTGATGGCCTCCTCAAAAGCTGCATGAATAGAGCTACCCCTTCAGTTAGCATCCACCTGTGTACTTCAGCACCCTCTGAGACCAGGAAGAGCTGGGGCAGGGTGGCATGTGGCTGGTAGTAGGCAGGAAAGAATGAGTTCTACAGTCTAACGACCCTCACTCCTTTTAGGAGTTAATAGGCACTGTCTTGTGAGGCTCCGGGACAATTATCACGGCTGCTGTGATTAAGATGGCGCCGGCCATGTCATGCCCAGAGAACAGTGTGTTTTCTGAATACATAGCCAGAGTCAGCGTGTTTTCATCAGTCTCCAGATTCATGGCTCCCTTTTCTTCCGGACTGACCAGTGACAGAGGCAGGGGCAGGGACTTTCTCGCATTGAAGACAAGGTGGATGCTCACCGTTAGAGGATGAGGGCTGAGGGGAAGAAGGGGAGAATTGTGCTCAGTTTAGCCCTACCCTATCCATTTGTCATTGAACCTCAGGCTTCCCACCTGTGAATGACGGTGATGCTGGAACTTGGCAATATGGCTGCTTCAGATTAAATACTGAATGAAGTTCAAGGTGGCCCCTAGACAAAAGTTCTCATAGCTGAACCAACACTGACCGAGTCAGTGAGAATAGGTAGGGATGGAAGCCGTGTTGCCTGGGTCTTGGCTTCTATCTGTGTGACCTGACCTTCCGGGCCTCATGGTGTCGGACAGGACTAGAAATGTCTGTTCTGCTTTGGAAGGTGGTAGGGAAGAGATCACTAACCACTGTAGGAAGAACTCTTCGTGTAGTTTTAACTCTTACTGTGTCTTCCTGTCAGTCCAGAAGAAAACCGTGTTGTCTGTAGGGTGGGCCAGATAACTCCTTGTATAACAGTGCTTGTGGCCAAGCTTGATGCCCTGAGTTCAGTCAGGAACCCACACTGGAAGGAGTTTACTGACACCTGAAAGCTGGCGTCTGACCTCCCTACACAACATGGGAAATAAAAACTAAATTTAAAAGTCACCCATGATAGGCAATAAGCTATTATTAGAGGAAAACTAAAGACCTGTGTTTAAGACATCCTGTTGCCTGCCTCTGCCGTCAGACTTCCCACTGTGGGAGGTGGATAGAACTGTGGCTACAGAAAGTCATTAGAGGCCCGGCAGTGTGGGTGCAGGCCTTTACTCTTAGGCAGAGGCAGGCAGATCTCTGAGTTCGAGACCATCCTGGTCTGCAGAGTGAGATCCAGGACAGCCAGGGCTACACAGAGAAACCCTGTCTTAAAAAAACAACAAGAACAAAAGGATACTTTGCATTAAATAAATAATGTTGTAAAAAATTGTTAGAGCCTAAAAGGTATAAGCTGACTAAGGTAGAAAACACTGCTTTGCTGTCATATTAAACAAATCATGGGTTGTCAGACAGTTTGAAGTTTAACCTCTTTATAGTCCTATAGCCATGACATATAAATATACACGTATTTGCATGCTCTGCATACATTTCTTTCTGTTTTTGTTTTTATTTTGTTTTTCAAGAGAGGGTTTCACTGTATAGCCCTAGCTGTCCTGGAACTATCTGTAGACCAGGCTGGCCTCAAATTCACAGAGATCCGTCTGCCTCTGCCTCCTGAGTGCTGGGATTAAAGGCGTGCGCCACCACCACCCGGCTTATGTATACATTTCTCACAGGACTAATTCTTAGTTTTAAAATTAGCAGCTCAAATGTTATACTAACTACATTCTGTCTGATATATTTTTCAGGTTGTTTAACTATGAATGTCTGTTATTTAAGTTCTGTCTGTGATCTGCTAACTGAAGCACATTTTCTTATTAGATTAGAAAGTATAGTATTCAAGAGACAAAATACTTTCCACACAGTGGCTGAAGATGGCTGCTCGCTAGTCAAGAGCTTGCGAGGCACAAGTAAAGGTTCAAAAAGCCTGTAGTTTTTCCATAATGTTTTCTGAGTCTCTGCTAGGAGCAGGCTCTGGATCAGCCTCAGGATGAAGGAAGCTTACTTCTCTCCCTAAGGGCTCTGCATCCTGGTGGGGATTCAGGCTCTGAGAAAAAGCACCGAGTGTGAGCCCTACACTGCTTGCGGAGGGGAAGGGAAGTAGTCTAGAAAAGTATCGGAGGAATGAGCCCCAAGAAGAGGCTCGGAGATCAAGTTAGAGTGGGAAGAATAGCAGGTGGAGGACTTGCCCATCAGGCCAGATCCATCATTTGAAGCATGGGTACCGGAGATAACAAATTTGGGGCATGTATTTGGCAAATAGATAAGACAGGCCTCTGTGGTGGGAGTCTAGGGATGTAGGTCTGCCTTTTCTTCTTCTTATCTGTTTAATAGGAATAAAGTATTACCCATGTTTTTGGGGATGTAGCGGACATTTGCTCAAGACCTCCAGTGAGGTGATGTCATTGACTTCCTTTGCAGCCCCCCACACCCAGCTCCCCAGGCTTTTGCAAATATGTATGATGTGGCTGCCAACGTTTCCCCCTAGTGGTTATCCCCGAGTTCTGCGCAGGAAGGCTCGCTGGTCTTATGCCGAGATCCAGATGTTTGTCAGTGACTTTGCTAACGCAAGAAGCTTATACTTTTATTCCTGTCGCATGGAAGTTGGGTTGGAACAACCAGTTAACAGGACAGATGAGCAAATAAATGATTCCGAAGGCTCTCCGTGAGCTAAAAAATCCAACAGGAAATGTGGAGCGGTTTCTGCCTTGGGCTTGGGAAAAGCAGTTTTTTACAGCACTTGGTTGGCTTTTCCGGGCATCAAGAGAAGACTCAGCAGCTCACTGGATGGACAGACCGGGAACGTAGGGTGACAACCTAGGCCAGTGTCACCTAGGTCTTTACTCTGCTGAAAATAGCCCGTATCAGGGCTAAGTCTCTTTTCCCTGGGTCTCAGTTTCTTTCTCTTTAATGCGAACTCCAATGAAGATACATTAATGCTTCCTCACTGGGTGCCCTGTAAGAGCATCCCGGCGGTATCTTTTTAAGCACATTATTGTGAACGTCACCGCCTCCGCCCCTCACCTGCCACCCTTGCGCTTACACGGAATTTGGCCCCAAGCAGAGGTTCAGATTAGAAGTGTGGAATTGGAAACTAATGAGGCACTGGCTCACGTGGCTCAGAGCTTATCAGAACTGTTCCCCGTGGAAGGTATTTCTAGAGATGTTATCGATGCTTGTTGATGTCGACCAGACGGAAGAGGCAAGACTAATTATGACTTTCCCTCCCCTCCCCATTGTATCTTAATAGCTCGTTTTGGAGACTTTAATCCTTCCATACACCATCCAGGCTATCTTGCCGACAGCCAGTTCATACCAGATCAAAATGATGACTTTTTAAGCAAGGTGGAGTCGCTCCATGAGCAGCACAGGTGCGGGGATGGGGTGTGGGGAATGCTGGAACTCAGACCGGGTATTTACAGATACTGTATCACTTTGTGTGTTTGATGCCCCCTTGGCTTCCTGTGGTTTTCTTTCTTCCTTCCTTTCAGCCTTTAAACTGGGATGGTGGCAAATACATATTTAGCATCCCTTGAGGTTTTGTGAAGCCTAAGAATGCAATAGGAATTGAGGGTGATAGCCGGCACATTCCTCCTTCAAGAGGTCATGGGTTAAATTAGCTAATTCCTCAAGGAAATGCCCGTTTTCAGTCTGATTGATTGGCCTCCAAGCTGATTGAACCACACATACCTTTTAGCCATTTACCTCGTTTAAGAAAACAGGCCATTCCCTCAGGTGTTGTTGAGTGGACAGACAGGAGAGCTGACAGGGTGGGTGGGTGGTCCTGGAGTCAGACTGCTTTTCCTCGACTCTGATACTCCCCACTTCCAGTCCCTTCTTCCCACGCCCCATGTGACTCAAAGCTCCTGTGGCAGCTGCTCTGTCCCCATTAAATGAGGACCACGCCGACCCAGGCCAGCCCTCCAGAGACACTGCATTTCTTGGGAAGGCCATAAAAACAAAGGGCAAGCTACCAGCGTACCTTCTTAGAGGGTGCTGCCAGACCTCTCTCCCGGAATTGCTCCTGGGACAGAAGTCAGCGTCCGAAAATAGCACAGGGTCACTGGTCTTTGAAGCGTGAGGCCACTGTTGAGAGAATAGACAGGCAAAAAGATGAAAGATTACCTATTAATTGAACAGCTTGGCGCGATGTAGGCAGGCATTTTGAAAGGCAACGGGTAGTTGTCACTGTCTGAAGACCTCTTGGAGAGCCCATTAAGTGGGGCGCGTTTCTTCGTAAAATCCGAGGGGTCCAGAGGAGGTCAGGGTCCATGGACAAGAAGAAAAACCTGCTTCAGTAGAATTAAGTTAGAGTGCTTTGGGGTACTAGCCCAAGGCATTTTAGTAACCTTTAATAACAATTACAGGAGACTGTTGTGTTTTCCAGAAACTTTTAGTTTTTAAAAGCTCAAGGTAATGTTCCCCACCTACTGAGTGAGTTTTGCAGTTTCTTTTTTTCTCTTGCAGTGGACTAAAGCAGTCTGAAGCAGAATCATGCTACATCAACATAGCTCGGACCCTTGACTTCTACGGCGTGGAGCTTCACGGAGGCAGAGTATGTATCCTTTAGCTCAGAAACTATTGTTTACTTCTAATTATGCAAGTTCACAGACTTCCTTGGGGGGAGTTGTTTCTCTCCCATTGTAACAAGTAAGGCCTTTGAAAAGCTGGTGGGGGGCTGGAGAGTCGGCTTAGTGTTAAAGCCCTCCTGTGTGAAAAGCTCTTGTTCTTGCAGAGGACCTGGATTTGATCCTCAGAACCCACAGGGAGGCTCACAACCTCCTTGGGAACCAGGCATACATGCAGGCAAAACGCTCATGCACACGAAATAATAAATAGCACAAATCTAAAAAAAAAAATTAAAGAGAGAGATACTTGGAAAGCTTATTGAGTACTTATTGGTTTATCCGAGTGTTCTCAGTCATTCAGTCAATTGCTCTTGTGCACTTGAAGGATCAAGGCACAGGAGACTTAGAAGCTTTCAACGACTGTTTGATATTATGGCTAAATGGGTAAAACCCATTTTCCTGTGTTCTAAATTTTTTTAGTAAGCATATAAAATGATGAATTTAGGGGCTCAGGCTGTCTCTTGGTTGGTGGAGTGCTTCTCTGGCATTCATGAGGCCCTGGGTTTGATTCTCAGTGCTGTATAAGCTAGGCGTGCTGGTATACATCTGTGATTCCAGCACTCTGGAGGAAGACACAAGAGGATCCAAAGTTCAAGGTTATCCTCAGCTACATAGTGAGATTGAGGCCAACCTGGGCCCCCATCTCAAAACGGGGTGGGGGGGCGGTGTTAGTGACATTGTCATGTTTGCATATTATTGTATTTTGCTCATACTCAACCCATCATCACCCTTTCTTGTCTCTCCTCCCCCTTTACCCCCTTTCCCCTACAAAAGGCCCCCTTTCTACTTTGTGTGATTTTATAAATCCATTTTAAGTGGCAATTTAATGAACTTTATAGTATCTGCTTACAGCTTAAGTGTTACTCAGATTGATTAGAGCTGGTTACTTAAATACAGTAATGTGTGTACATCTGTGTATGATGTATGTAAGTGTATGCGTATGCATGCTTGTGTGTGTGCGCGTATGTGTGTGTGTGTATGTAGGTGTAGCTAGATGCGAGGTGCAGGCATGCCTGTGGAGGCCAGAGGTTGATGTCCAGGGTCTTCTTAGTCACGCTGCACCTTCTTCTTTTGAAGCAGTGCCTATCACTGGATCTGATACTCACTGGCTGGTGGCACCGTGGGCTCCAGGGATCCACACCTGTCCCTTCTTCTCAGTGCTGGGGTTACAGTCATGTACAACCATGCCTGGGTGCTGGGGATTGGAACTCGGGTCCTCATGCCTGCACAGCGGGCAGTTTGCTGACTGAGCCATCTCCCCAGCCCTATTCAAGCTTAATAATTTTTTAGAAGAAATTATGGGGGCGTGACACACCTCCAACAAGGCCCCGCCTCCTGATCCTTCTGAAACAGGTCTACCAGCTGGGCACCAGGCACTTAAATATATAGACCTGGGTCGGGCATGGTAGAGCATTCCTTTAATCCCAGCACGAGGGATACAGAGGCAGGAGGATCTCTGTCAGTTCAAAGCCAGCCTGGTCTAAATAGTTCCAGATTCAAACCGCCACACTGGCTAATCATGCGAACATTAACATTTCTGCCTGCCATTGGCCCACGTCATTCCCTCCATGAAGCAGGTATCGGGCTGGGGTGATCGCTCACTCCATCAAGTTCTTGTTACAAAGGCACGAAGAGCTGAGTCTGAGCTCAGAACCCAAGTGAAAAGCTAGGCTAGGTGATCTGTACTTGACATCCAAGCACTGGGGAGGCAGAGACAGGAGGACCCTGGGCCTCCCTGGATGGCTCTGCTACCTTCCTGATGAGCTCCAGGCCTGTCTCCAAGACCAAGGTCCATAGCTCTTAAGGAATGACGCCCAGGGTTTTCCTGGCCTCCATACGCACAAATACGCATGTGCACACACATGCGCCCCTGCACACACGCGCACAGTATTGCTTAAGTACCAGCTTCTGGCTAGTCTTTGTTCCAGGTGTTTTCATAGGTAACCCTTTGGGTGGTTCCTTGCTAATTGGCGTTCTTAGTTAGCATCTCCACAGGTGAGAGAGCTAGAGCCTGTGAACGTTGAATAAATGATCCAAGCTTCTTTTGCCTGTTTAAAAAGCTACGCATTGTGTGTGAAACTTCCAGAAACACTTGACTTCTTTGCTTCACTTCTGTCCCAAGAGTTCTCCATTAGATAGGGTCTAACATGGTTCATAAATGGTGGGGAATATATTGGCTCTTATACAGTGACATCTTTGGGATGTAACTGGTAAGTTGTATGTCCTTTTGCAAATTTTTTTTTCATTGATAGAATGTTTTGAAAAACCTTCAGTGGCAGAGTAGGAATTAATGGCATTCTACTGCCAGGTTTAGTCTTCATCTTCCTCACCCTCGCCTCTCAGGGAGCGTCAGGCTAGCCACAGCCTTGTTCTTCCCCGCACCATTCTGGCTTTGCTTCCAGGTGTGCTTTTAGCACGAGTACTCAGGACTTCCTCTGTATCGGCACCATTTCCTTATCTAGTTTCTGTACCCACCTTTGTTCCTTTGTTGCTCATAAGTGATGGCCCCACCCCACGAGAAAATGACTTGTTGCACCTGCCGTGTGCCGGTTCTCCATCGAAAGCGTCATATGCACAGCCCTGTTCTCAGTTCCTTGGTTATTTTCTCTGCTCTCAGCCTGATAGAAACTTTAAGGTGCAAAAAGGAAAATGCAGGCTCTCCTGAGCCCCCAGCGACATAGGCAACTAGTGGCAGGCCAAAGGTTCACACTCACTTGTGACTGGCTCTACCCTGGGTTCCTAGTTATGCCATCTGATTGGCAACAGAGACACGTGTGACTCAAGGAAGGAACCCTTGTCCCTTTGAATGTTACTTGTTCATACTCAAGTGGATTTAAAACAGCTTTAATTCTCTGTGTTTTCCTCTGCTTCTGTATGATATATGGCTGTGCCAAACACACAAGCCCTTAGCCAGCGTGGTTACATTGGAGTCATAAGCAACATTTCTTTCTTAATTGGATTTAGAGTCATGTCCACAGGTGTAATTTTTCCTTATTATTTAATAATGGCTAAAGCCTCTTCAGTAATTGAAGTTGAGATTTGTATGGCGTTGTATGGAGAAGAAGCCTGTTTGAGTCTCATGTGGCTCCCAAATGCTGATGGTTGAAAATGAAAGAGTGTTTTTATATTTGGTTCTGTGGAGTGAATATTCTTGCCTGGTAACTTCCTAAACGAGGTATCATGATATGCTCTGTGCGCGCGCGCGCGCGCGTGTGTGTGTGTGTGTGTGTGTGTGCGTGTGTGTGAATGTGTATGCGTATATGTGAGTTCACTTTAGAAGAACTGGGTGCCAAGTGCGTGGCTCTTAAGTGGCTGCTACGTGAGCTTTTTCCCGTGTTCAGTGGCCTTTCCCCCTCTTGAGTGGATGCATGCTACTATTTATAAAAGCGTGGGTGCTTTAAAGTTAGCAGAGGATGAGCGTGGCTGTAACACACTGTGAACCTGGACTCTTCCTTCCTTCCCTCCCCCCACCCCAGGATCTGCACAGTTTAGATCTAATGATCGGGATTGCTTCTGCGGGCATTGCAGTGTACCGAAAATACATTTGTACGAGTTTCTACCCTTGGTGAGTGCAAACGCTTGGGGTTGTCTGAGTCATGCCTTAAAAATATGCCGAGTAAAAGCGATGCTGGATCTAATCTTAAAACTTTTGATCTCTGAAGAAGTCTAGCTCCCCCACCCCACCCCACCCCACCCAAGTTGTAAACTCTGAACTCAAACTGAAATCAAATGAAACTTGATCCGGATTTGGCACTTGGGAAAGTAAACTTTGGTTTTCATTAACTTCCCTCTGCCAGTCGTCCTGTGGTAGGGGTGGTTGGTGGATAAATGGCACAGGCAGGTCTTGGAGTTGAGCAATCTTTCCACTCCCTTGTTTGTGTGTGGAATCAGACCTAGATTCTGACAGTCACGAGCCTGCAGGTAATACAAGCCTTATATGTGTGTGGGGTCCCCCCCCCCACTGCTTACACAGCTGTGGTAAAGTTTAATCTATGAATTAAGTCCACTAAAAGATTTCAAACAATGCATAATAAAATCAAGCAGTTATCACAGTATACTGTAATGAGAATTATGTGTGTATGGCCTCTCTCTCTTGAAAGAGTCAAGGCCAGTAGTACTTTCAAATTGTGGTGGACTCCAGGCAATTGAAACCGTAGAAAACCAGAGCAGAGGTGGAGAAAGGGAGAAAGGAATTGATTTTCAACGTGAGTTTGAGTTGACTGTAGTGCACTTTTATAAAGGACAGCACAAACGTGTGTTGGGCAGGGGTGGGGCGGGAGGAGGAGAGTGGGTGCGGCAGGCCGTGGGATAGGAGAGTATAGCGTACGGTAAAGTGGCCACACGGAAACTCAGAGGAAAGGAGATTCGGGTGGCAGAGTTGTGGCCTGCCAGATATGTTTAGGTTTATACCCGTTCCTCTGTTTGACTGCCTAGAACTTCACAGAGTCAAAGGTGTTCATCACAGACACTTATGACAGTGGGGGAAAAACCTATAAATAAAATTATAGGGGTATTAACTGTGATCGCAGCTGTCATATTATTGAATGTTGTCGTATCCAAGTCTTGTTACTATGTGTTTTATTTATCCCACTTAAACATTGAGTAAGCCATTCTTAGTCCTGGTTTCTTAGCAGAGAAAGCTGTAGGAAGGACAAGGAAGTTTGTAAGGACTGTCAGACTCGCGCTGCTAATAGCGGGGCAGTTGAAATTCCCGTCCAGTTTGTCACCCAAGACCTGTCTTATTCTACCACTAAACGTTGTATTTGTGGGGAAGTGCAGGCTACACACTTAAAGACATTGGTTTTACGATTTCTTTTAAATGCATTTAATTTTCGACAAAACTACGCCATTATCTTGTTTGGTTTTGCGGTGGAGTCAGTGGGACAGGCGATAAGATCTCTCGAGCCCCTCACTGTCAATAGGCTGGGCTAGCTGGGGCATAGCCTGCTGAGTTCTCTGGCCTCAGAGCAAAGGACCAGTCAGAGAAGCACGGTCCTGATTCTCTCTTTAAGTGTCTTCAGTCCCCCAGTGCCATAGGCCAGAAGCTACCTGAGTCTCGCCTCATCTGTGGCTGGATGTACGAAAGTTCCTTACGCTGGGTCTGGACATCACATTTAAAGGTAGATTTGGATCCCATAAGGAAGTGGAGAGCTTCCGAAAGCAAGCCTGTAAACAGAAGCCTTTGAGTCAGGATGGACAGGGACTCTTGGCACCCCTCCCGTCCTTCAGATGCTCTCTCGGAAATTCTTGGTGACTCTTCGACTTCAAATCGGCTCCTGTCAAAGCCTGTCTCTGTGGCCAGTGCTGTTTCAGTTAGTTAACCTGTGACAAAATAATGGATAGAAACAGCAAGGGGAGCAGAGTCGGCTCACAGTACGGAAGAGCCCAGAGCCTCCAAGAGTGACTCCAAAGAGGGTAGGCTTTGACTGCAGGGATCCGTTCTAGGAAGAAGGTACAGAGTGAGCATATCACCAGAAACAAGGGAGAACAGAGCGGTCAGGGTGACGTAGATGGTGGATTAGGCTAGAGCATGGTGTGCCATAGCCGGCCGCTGGAGAGTGACCTGGACACCAAGAGCCTCACAGGACACTGCAGTGGAGACTTAGTCCTCGGTGTTCTAATGAGAACTACATTCTCACGATGCAGCGATCAAAGGGAGATGGCTGTGTGCACCATTTGATACCTGTCTCCTTCACTAGATTAAATGTTAAGACTGCAGTACCCACTGTCTTGTTCTTTCTGTCCCTGGGACCTGGCACAGGACCTAGCCCATCCAGACACTCGGTACATTGCATCTTTCCCTGTGACCGAGGGCAGTAGGGAGCCCACTGTAGGGCCTTCAGCCTGGAAATCACATCTGCATTCTTCAGATTCGCTCCCGTGGAGAACGGCCAGTGAGGGAGTTGTAAGCGTTGAAGCAGAACACTCTGACCCAGGAGGCCTAGCAGGGAACCCCCATCTGAAGCCATTGGCACACAAGCAGTCTGTGCCCAGCAAGACAAGGCTAGGGACTCCTCCAAAATGAATGAGTTTGTTCTCCAGACCCCTGTGAAATAGCAGTTCCTGTGTGTGCCCCTCAACACAAACTGTATGGAGGAGACCTGCCCACCTCAGGGTGTAACGCGCACCATGATGGATGCCTCAGAAGAACTGGCTCTAAGAGCCTTCTGGTCCTTACATGACTAGCCTGCAGTCACTCTGAAAATTCACTAGTCAAATAGGAGTATCCACCAGCAGGTTACATAAACTTGGTGTTCGTTTTTAATATATAATGCAAGTGTGCTATGTGTGTGTTCCTGATCCACTGGGGGAAATGTCACATAAATAAACTCGCTTTACTTACTCAAGCTCTCTGTTCTAGAATGTTCTTATCAAGGTCTTGATATGATCCTAGAGAATAATAGAGTTCCTCACTTCCCAAAACACTGTGGATTTATAGTGACTTGTAGTGAGTACAATCTATTTAAGAGTACTAGTTAATTTCTTTAATGTACTGAGAATGCTGGTGCATATTTGTAATTCCAACACTAAGGGGTCAGAGAGGGTAATCTCTGAGGTCGTGTAAGCCAGCCTAGCCTCATGTAGTTGGTGAGCTCCAGGTCAAATGAGAGATCCTCTCTCAAAGAATAAGGTAGACAGTACTTGAGGAAGAACACCCTAGGTAGACTGTTGTCCCGTGCCCCCCCCCACACTCTGATCTCATTCACCAGTTTTAATGAAAAGTACCATCACTGAGAGCCTGTGGTATATTAAGAATCATCTAAGAACATGGCATGCTTACTATGTCTAAATTATCATAGGACCACGGTGAGAAAGGCTGTGATGGTTACCACTCAGCAGATACCCTAGGGTCCAAAATCATAGGCTCTGGAGTCTGATCCCCAAGCTCAGAGCCTGGCTCCAGGCAGTGACATCTCTGCACCTCAGCTTCCTCTTCTGGATAAATACCGTTCGTGGCTGTCGCAAGACCCGATAGAGGCAGTGTTTATAAAGCCCGTGGCGGTGCCCTGCGATGTGAAAATACTTACTGCTTGGTAGCTTTCATTCTGTATCATGCACATGGTGACGAAATTCTTTCACACGTGGCTGTTAAGTAACAGAGCTGGGGTACAACCCAGGTCTGTCCTCCCTCTGCTCCACACTGCCCCCACGTAGGCACCAGCTCCTGCAGGGCTGCAGCGCCACAGAGAGACTTACAGCAAAGAGTGCGCATGGCCCGCGCTCTTGGTTATTTAAAAGCTGCCTCGCAATCCAGAGGCCCCATGGAGATCCAGCTTGGTCCGCTCCTTGAGTTCAGCTGAGGCACACTCCCAGCAGCCTGCGGTCATCAGATCATGAAATAGAGGACCCATGCAGAAGAGGGGTCAGCTATACCCCAGCTGAGCCCCGATGTCTTTGTTTGATTTGCATTTTGTTTTACTTTTTGTGTTATGTGTGCTTTTGTTTTGCCTGGCCTTTTACAGGGTGAACATACTCAAAATTTCTTTCAAAAGAAAAAAGTTCTTCATACACCAGCGGCAAAAACAGGTGAGTTCTGCCCACGCTTGCGGTGTGCTTGCTGTGTTTGCTGCCTCGTCAAGGCTTCCTCTAGTCCCTCAGGCATGGCTTTCTGTGTCTTAGGAAGGAAAGGCTGTGGCCATAGGTCATCAGACTCTGTGGTCCTCTCCGTGAGTCAGTTCGCCTCTGGTTGGAGAACGAACTGGCTTTAGAGTGAGATACTCTAGGTTTAGATCCTGGCTTTTCCCCTGGCACCGCCTCTAGCCCATATTACCTTACTTCTAGATGTTCACGTAGTGTCCACTTCTCAGGGAGCCGTTTGGATTAGACAAAAGAGCTCAGCCTGAGCGCCTAGCAGAGCCCAGGGATGCAAAGCAGGAAGCATCCACACAGCCAGTTCCTTTCTTAAGTGTTCCATGGACGATAGCTTGTGCCTGGGTCTCACAAGAGGAGTCGGCAGGATCCTAGACAACCCTGTTTGTTTGCTTAGCCACGGCAGAAGTACACTCAGTAAGAAAGCCAGAGCTCCCACAGCCTCGGAGTGAAGGAGCTGGAATTTGAACTGAGGCGCCTGCCCTTTCCACACCACACCCTGTCTTGTTATGCTGCATAGTTGTCGCTGGCTGTCACTGCGTCCATTTCCCAACCTTTCAGAGATGATATGCCCTTAGACTGACCCCACGCAGTGAATGGGGCCTTAGAAACGGGATCCCTAGAGCTCAAAGCACCAAATACCTCGGTTGCCTGACTCCCCCGACTCCCACCCCTAGAGCAAGGAGGGTCAGTGAAGCACCAAAATGCATGTGGAATCGGAAAACCCAAATGCAGGTAGACTGAAGGCAAAGCCAGGGGTGGGATTACTTATCTGTGAGCACTGGAATAGAGAATCCCCGGGCTTCTAATGTCTCTGCTACCTGCTTGGTGGAAGAGTATTTCTTCAGGAAAGAGATGCTCGGGGCGGAGTTCCCAAGTTTATCAGATGGTAGGGCCAAGTAAGCTTCCTCTTGAACTAGAAGCAGGTTTGGAACAAGGGTGTCTGTGAAGGACCGCACATGGTGAGGAGGCATGGATTCGGGTCACACCCGTAGAGACACTCCTGCTCTAATACTCACGGGACGCTGGGGTGTCGGGGGTGTCTGAAGCCTGTTCCCTCCCTTTGTTACATCTTCAGCCGTGCGGGTTTGCAAGCTTGGCACATTTTGGTCCTCCTGTACCTTTGCCGTGAAATCTCCGCTGCTCTTCCTCACAGGCTGAATCCAGGGAACATATCGTGGCCTTCAACATGCTAAATTACCGATCTTGCAAAAACTTGTGGAAATCCTGCGTGGAGCACCATTCGTTCTTTCAGGCAAAGAAGTTACTACCTCAGGAAAAGAGTGTTCTGTCCCAGTACTGGACTCTAGGCTCCAGGAACCCCAAAAAGTGAGTATATTTGAGGAGAACCGTCCATGCTAACCCGAGATGTTAATGTGTGATGCTTGCCCCCGGGGCGTGGACATCCTTGGGCAGAGAGGCAGCTCTGAGGCTGGACCCCAGACTTTAGATCCCTGAGTGACAGCTGAGCGTCTCCAGGGGAAGCTGTGCCCTTTTATGCTCGGGTGCATCTCCTTTTCCCGGCGTTAGTTTTTTGCCCCCTCCACCCTGCTGTCGGCTGAGTTCTCAGGCAGCTAGAGTTGCAGTTGCCCTCATCCCTTCCCAATTAAAGGACACCGAGTGTCATCCTGGTGCCAGCGTATTGGGCTTTTCACAGCCGGAGGCCTCTAAGGCAACCCCTCCCACACAACATTAGTTCATAGGCACCCCATAAAAATGAATAGAGGTTTCCAGAGTCTGGAGACTGCGGACTATATTACCAATAATAGCTACAAAATAACAATTGTCATTGACAATTACCTAGTGTTTATAAAAGGAACATACTTAATTACATTTAATTCTTGCGCTGAACCTGAGTTAAATGCTACCTACAGGAATGATATTCAAAATATTTAATGATAAGAACGGTAAAATTAATTTACACATATATGTCATGTACATTATAATTTTCAAAATAATATATATTGAGTCTTTACATAAAGCGACTGGGGCTTATGTTTGTTTTGTTTATTCTAAGACAGCTTTGTATAGGAGGCGACAGAAATTGTTTGTCATGTTGTTAGAATTTTCTAAGTCATTTACTGGTTTTTCAGAATTGTGATTGATTGTCGTGAACGTGGCTTTTCCTAAACAAGGCTCAAGTATGAGCTATTATTTAATGTGAAATTAGAGAAGAATGTTCTGGGGGCTTTCCAATTACATATTAGATAACATAATGATTTAGCCAGTGGTAAATGGCCTCTGGTAGGGGTGGTATTATTTCTTATGAACCAAGAGCAAACCTATTTTTAAAGTGTTTAGTCCTTATACTTCTGTTTAGTACTTATATGCATTCAATAGTCTGCTAGTGAGTAGACCATAAGAATAATGTTGTTGAGGTACCTATAGAAGTGCCTCATACCCAGGATGCTACATGGAAACCATGGAAACCGAATCCTCTTCCTGCATGGTGGTCCTCTAGGCAGCCAGAGGCATTGGATGAGAGAAGAACCCAAGTGCAGTGAGCTCAGCCACCAGCAATAGCCCCACCTGCTACAGTTTCCCCACGCCAGCATTGACAGCCCAGATAGCTGCAGACGGTGGGGCTGTGCCTCTTTGTTAGGCACTCCCTGGGTCATGCCATCCTGGGGACTTCCCTGGCGGAAGTAAATCTGAACACTCCAGGCCTGGCATTCCCTCACCGTGAGCCTCAGGAACCTAGGCTGTGCAGCCGAAGCAGCGATTAGCAGATTAGCGTCCCCGTGTCCGTGAGAGTCTGGGAGTCAAACTCAGGTGCTGCAGCAGGTCAGACTGACAGACAGATTTGCACAGTCAAGAAGTTCAGGTTGAAAAAACAAAACATTGGTTTTTGACCGCTTAAGCATCAAACTAAAATTGGGCTAAGGCATAAGTGCACTGGTTAACTCTCCTGGCACAGCTTCCTTGCTGCAGAGTGACCGTGTAGGTAGTGATCTCACTACAGTCCCGTTGCAGAATTGCAGTGAGATGACTTGGAGTTTGTGGGGGGCTCCCTGTTGTCGGTGTGTTGCTTGTGTTACCTCCACCAAGATGTTATAATATTGCTGCTTATGTGGTCCTTAAAAGGAAGCAGTTTTCTTCCAAATAAGAATTGACTAGACCTCATCAGACAACAGTGGCGCACGCCTTCAATCCCAGCACTCAGGAGGCAGAGGCAGGTGAATCTCTGAGTTTGAGGCCAGCTTGGTCTACAGAGTGAGTTCCAGGGCAGCCGGGGATACGCAGAGAAACCCTGCCTTGAAAAACCAAGCAAGCAAACAAAAGCCAGATTGGCTAGACCTGATTTTCCAGGCAGGTTGGAGGTGGCATAGAAGGGACCGAAGGGTTCTTAACCAACACTGAGTGAGTTCAGATCCTCCATGTCTCACTTGAGTTTTAGTTTGCTGCCTCCGTTTCATCATCTGCAGACTTCTTTCCCTCTTCAGCCTGCACGGGGTGCTGGGTTCTGATCGTCTTCTGTGACATGGAAACCCATGTTTTGGTGCTAACAGCAGCCGTAGTCTGTTATCTCAAGATTTGTGAGTTAGGAATTCAGGAAGGGTTTACCAGTGACTCTTCTGCTCCATTAGTCCTGCTCTAATGGGCAGGGATTTTGTGACAACCGGCTGCTTGCAGCTGGTTTGAGGGTCATTGGAAGCATGGAAAACAGTTTGGGGTACAAGTCATTAGTTTCTTACTGGTATCATCTTTCAGTATACTGTTAATTTTGACTTTTTTTTTCTTTTTTACATTTACTTATTTATGTGTAGGGGTGGAGTCGGGGGAAACACATGCACACCACAGTACACATGTGGAGGTCCAAGGACAGCTTCTAGGAGCCAGTTCTTCTACCCTGTGGGTCTCAGGGGTGCCATTTGAGTCATCAGGCTTGGTGGCAAGCACTGTGACCCACGGAACCGTCTGGCCAGCCCTCGTCATTTCCTTTCATTTCACAGACGAGGAAACCACGGTCCCACCTAGCTCTAGAGTACATCTGTATAGTTGTGTGTTGGACCCTCTGACAGGTTCCGTGAAAGGGGAGTTTGATCGTTATTTTCCGGAGACCGTGGAATGGTTTCAAGTTTCTATTAATAACTCGTGACACCTGCTTCAGGGATCTGCCACGTTAAACCCTGGAGTCACGCTGCCTGCTTCCCTTGTTTTAATCTTACATCCTTTTTTTTTGGTTTTTTGAGACAGGGTTTCTCTATGGTTTTGGAGCCTGTCCTGGAACTAGCTCTTGTAGACCAGGTTGGTCTCGAACTCAGAGATCCGCCTGCTTCTGCCTCCCGAGTGCTGGGATTAAAGGCGTGCGCCACCACCGCCCGGCTTAATCTTACATCCTTAATCAGCGGTCACATGACTTCTGATAGCCCCGACCTCAGGGGAAAGGGTCTCCTAGTGATGCTGCAGTTAGCACTTGGATGGCATGACAGTGGCATTCATTATTATAAACTGGTATCTGGACTTGCTGGATTTCTTTGTTCTTTTGCTTTTGTCAGTCCGTTGGTTTTAGGCCATAAGGAAATATACGAAATATTTAAGACATTAGAGCATGGGGTAAAGTTGGAAATGCCAGAACCAGACTTCCAACGGTTTCCTAAGGCAATCTATTCCTCAGGAATTCGGTTTTCAAACTATAAATAAAATTCAGAAATATCCTTCAGATAACATATTCAGAGAATATGACCTGAAACCATTCTAAGTACGTCCTTGGCTTCTCTGTCAAAGATTTCCTAGTGATTGATGGTCCCTGCATCTGCCGGCCAGGGGGCCCGGGAGCATCTGGAGGGATGACGATGCTTTTGTTCACGCCAGTGGGAGGCGGGTGAGGTAGATCCATTGAAGTTATTGGAGCTGCGCTGGTCTGTGCTATTCTGGCACTCCTTCTAACCTGGTAGCCTTGGCTATAGTCTAGAAGCAGCTTAACTATTTAAAGTAGTGGAGACGCGGAAGCATTTTCACCAAAAGACCAGATATAACCTAAAGAAAAAGCCAGAACAAGAAAGGAAGTCTTTGGAAGTCTGGGGCCAGCGGGATGGTTCAATAGGTAAAGGCACTTACTGCCTGATAACCTGAGTTCCATCCCCGGACCCACCACGGTGGAAAGAGAAAACTGCTCCTGCGAGTTGTTTGCTGACACCCACAAGTACACCACAGCACACCCACCCATGAGTGTGCCCACACCCACATAAAATAACCTTTAAAAGTTTTTATAAGGGCACTCTGGAAACCGACTGCCTCCACTCCTCGTAACCTAGCTGGTATGACCAGGGCTGGTGTCACTGGGTGCTAAGTCAGCCAGTGCCTTCAGAGAAGGTGCTTTGGCAGACTGTATTTCATGGATGCTGTGCTTGCTTTCTTGTTGGACGTGTCAGTGTGCAAAGTAATGCTGCATCTGGTTTTTCAGGTCTCTAAATAACCAATACTGCAAAAAGGTGATCGGAGGGATGGTGTGGAACCCAACCATGAGGAGGTCCTTATCAGTGGAACGGCTAGAAACCAAGAGCCTGCCTTCTCGGTCTCCACCCATCACCCCCAACTGGTATGTTTTCGTTTACGCTGTGTGCCAGCTGCAGATACCCTCTCTGAAGATACAATGTCAGCTTTAAACCCTTCAACAGGGATTGCCTACAATCAGACTTCCCATGTGCGTTCCCATGTTGCAGAAGGAGCCAGTCTCCTGATGCCAAGGCAGACAGACCCTTCTCATACTGAAAAATGCTAAAGTGGCCTTACAATAATAATAATAAATTCACCTATTTTGGGGAATCATTTTGATATTCCAATACACGTGTAGTATTCAAGTCAACTTTATTGTCATATCTACCAGACAAATAGCTTTTTTTTTAGTTTTTTTTTTAAACTTAAAAGTTTCTTAAAGATTTTTTTAAAATCTATTAAAATCCCTTCTAGTAGCTGGGCGTGGTAATAAATACTTGTAAGCTTAACGTTCAGGAGCCTGAGGCAAGAGGATCAAGAGTTCAAGGCCAGCTCGGACCCAATCTCGAATGGTGGGTAGGTAGGTAGGTAGGTAGGTAGGTAGGTAGGTAGGTAGGTAGATAGATAGATAGATAGATAGATAGATAGACAGACAAATAAGTAAATAAATGGGCCCAATTTTACATACATACATCCTTTCTGCTGGCTGTTCTGAAATACTCAGCGGTTTATTGAGCACCACAGTCACCCTGATGTGCTAGAATATCAGACACTATCCCTCCTATCTAACTACACTCCCGAAGTGCTTCTGTTAAAAAAAAAATCATAAATCGCTGGATGGTGGTGGTGCACACCTTTAATCCCAGCACTCCAGAGGCAGAGGCAGGCAGATCTCTGAGTTCGAGGCCAGCCTGGTCTACAGAGTGAGTTCCAGGACAAACAGGGCTACGTGGAGAAACCCTGCCTTGAACAACGGTAATAAATATCAATAATACTACTACTACTAATAAATTGGGGCGGGGCCTGAGGGCATAGCTCAGTGGTGAAGTATACTTACATAGCATGTGTAAGCTCTGGTTTTATTCTACAACCCTGCAAAATAAATAAAAAATAACATTTGGAACTTGAGGCCTGCTGTAATGTCCACCTTAGAATCATAGCCTGTGGTAGCATCTTAAATGCTTTAAGCTCTAAGAAGTTCATGATAAAGAACTTAAAAGGATAAAGGATGAAAAGAGAAAAGAAACCCTCAGGGGTCTAAGTTTCCTACAAATGGAATAATGCATGAGTGTTTTATTATTTCAGAAAAGGGTCATGCGGAATCTTCTATTAGTTATTTTAGTGGTCCACAAAGATATCAGCCACTTTTGATAATGTCTCCTAAAAGGCCAAGCACCATCAACAGGGGAGTTGAAGCAAGGAATAATTATACCCTGGCTCCATAGGATTAGCAGTGTGGCTTGCTGGAACCTGAACGTTTCCTAGCTGGGATCTGTGCACTGAAGGGACATGAGCCCTGCCAGGAAAGGACCCTCCACCGGGAGCCATGTGTCCTGGGCGGTGGTGATGACAATCATGACGTGTGCTGTAAAGCACCAGCTTAATCTATGTGGAAATTGTCAAGGAGCCAGAGAGAGCCCCAGGTGAGATTGAGGAGAAGAGCAAGGTTGGATCTCTCGCTGCTAATTAAAGATCCTTCTCCCAGGAGTCACAAGAGCCATCTTGCTTCCACAATGGACGCACGTTATTGACTGTGCAGGAGCAGGGGGATTGCAAGTCTCTGAGAATCCCAGAGAGAAATAGCTGACAAAGGGAAGCTGGAAATGCACAGGAGATATGGGGCCTGGCACCCAGGCGCAGTCCCAAATGTTCCATGAACGCTGTCTCTTCTGGGTCACTCTCAGGAGTGAGTACAGCTGAGACCCAGAGGAGATGGGACTTATCAAAGGTCACCTGACTATGGCTGATAATGGAGAACCGGGTAGCGTTCTGATGCCATCACATTCCAGGTGCTGAATACAGAGAACATTAAAGAAAAACCAGGCGTCTCTGGTCTGTAGAGATGGCTGTGGGAAGTGCCAACAGGAGAACTGAGTTCAGGTGTTAGCATTCTCATCAAAAGGCAAGGCATGGACATAGATGCTTGTAACCTCTGGGAGGCAGAGATGGGAGGAACCCAGGGGCTGGCCAGCCAGCCTAGCTGGGCTGATGAGCACCAAGTTCAATGAGAGACCCTGCCTCAAAAAATAAGGTAGAAAGTGACAGAAGAAGTCACTCGATAACAACCTCTGACCTGTACATGCACATGCATGAGCACACAAAACCACACAGACACCACTCATGCACACAAGTTCTAAAGTCATTTTTACGTCTTGGACCAAAGGAAATTCATTGAGGAATAATAAACATGTTGTAAGAGGATGCTTGTTTGTTTCCTGGCCTCCTGGCAGCTCAGACCCGAAATAATCACACAGAAACTATGGTATTTAAAACACTGCTTGGCCCATTAGCTCTAGCTTCTTATTGGCTAACACTTATATCTTAACCCATTTCTAGTAATCTGTGTATCATCACGTGGCTGTGGCTGACTGGGTAAAGTCCCAGTGTCTGTCTCCATGGGGCTACATGGCTTCTCTCTGACTGTGCCCTTTCTCCCAGCATTCAGTTTAGTCCCCCCCACACACACTAGTTCTGTTCTGCCCTGCTATAGGTCCACTCAAAGCAATTATTTATTAACCAATGGTATTCATAGCATCACAAACACACTTTGCTTTCCAAACCTGTCAGTGTGCATTGTTGGATTGATGAGAAAAGTTCAAGATGGCTTGAGCCTTCATAGCTCATCCTTAATCAGTGCTCACTGACCAGAAGGCTTATTTCTGCCTATTTCTAACTGAGACGGCCATATCACTTACACAAATGTGTCAGAGACCTGTGTTGCCCTGGATGGATTCTACTGGAGTAAGAATGACCTCACTGGCTCTGACATTTGTTTTGGTTATTTTTGAGACAAGGTCTCATTAATTCCCGACTGCCCCTTAACACTCAATCCTCCCTAGTGCTGGAGCTCTGGGTGTGTACCACCACACCCAGCTCTGGGTCTGGCTTTCTAAGCACCCGTCAGGGCGTCCACGGAAAGACCAGGTCACAGGGTCACACAGCTGCCCTTGGGTCAAGCCTCTGTGTGGGAACCGCTCTCAGCACTTGGGCTCTGCGCTTCTCCCATTTGCAGGAGAAGTCCTCGGCTCCGGCACGAAATCCGAAAGCCTCGCCATTCTTCCGCGGACAACCTCGCCAATGAGATGACCTACATCACGGAAACCGAAGATGTGTTCTATACCTACAAGGGATCCCTGTCCCCTAAAGACAGTGATTCCGAAGTATCCCAGAACCACAGCCCACACCGAGAGTAAGGAACACGTATTTGCTGTCTTCGGGTCTGCTTTGGGCCGGTGAGGAGTTTGCGCAGGCCTGAGTGCCCCTTGAAAAGAGGCGGGCGCTGGTGCGTGCAGCCGGGAATGTAAATCCAAACACTTGTCTGAACGGTCACGTGACACTATCTCCACTTTACATCCACCATCCCTTTCGAAAGTGACGTATTTTCCCGCATTGATCAAGGCCAGGAAAAAGTATGTCTGTTCTGAAAGGCAGGTTTGAGTCTTTTAGTTAGTTATTCAGTAACAGCTCCCTTTTTACCTTGATTGTTAGAGCTGTTCAACAGTTAGACCCAATCACATTTGCTCCCCTCCCCCACCCAGGTGTCTGGCACAGTCTCTTCTCTGAATTCCTCACCTTTAGTAAGAAACTCTATCATATCTGCGTATTTGGAACAAGCAATCTCGTATTCTGAAGCCGATAAGACACAGACCATAAATGATATCTTTAAGTTAAATTATGATAGACAAGGATAAGGTGTTAAGAAGCCAGTCTTAGCCATTGGGTATTCGAACCATTAAGCCCCAAATAATGGCCAAAACTAAGAAAGGTAATTTCTGCCCTACTGGAGAAGGATTAGGAAGAGAAGCTTTAGGCAGTCACAGGGGAACTGCAGCTCTCCCCACTTCCATGCTGGGGCGCAGGAGTGAGGGGGTGAGGGGATGGCTTGCTTCTCTGTCACTGTGCACAGCCATCATGGTCTTCAGACCTTCTGCGCTTTTACCGCCTCTGCTGAAATGACCCCCGTGGTCGTGATTTCCTCATGATCTGAACCTCTGGGTTCTTCTGTTGAAGCGATCACTGTCCATCACTGCGGTTTGCGGTTGGCTGCACTGTCGTGTAAGCCGCAGAAGACGGGTGGGAGCTTCGTTTCATGAACCTGTGGCTTTGCAGACTAGGAGCGGCTCTGGAAATGCAAAACAGGAGTGAGGAAGGTGTCTGTTAGAACCAGTCTGAGTCCTCCTTGGCCTCCAGACTCTGTTGCTTTGACACAAGGTGGAGAGAAGGCATAGGGAACCCCATCCAAGGGTTTAGGGAAGCCCACATGTACTCGCCATGTTGAGAATCTAGAGTTTGCTGGCCAGTACAGCAGCGGCCCACTACGGTCAGCTGCTCAGATTTATGCCAACTAAAATAAGATGTGTGTTCGGCAATTAGAATGTGCATGTGCATTTTCAGCATTGTCCAGACACATGTGTACGGCCCCTCCATCAGTGGCTATTGCCTGTGCCTATCGTCCCAGCTTGCCAGTGGTCGGCTCTGCCATTCACTGGAAGTAGAGCAACCCCCAGAAGTCAAGTTGAGGACACCTCACTTACCAGTGAAGTACTCGTCACCCCTCACCCAGCCGCACAGCTGTAGGGGACTTAGGGGACCTCTGAGAACCCTTGTGTTCCCATGCCTCTGATGGCTGAGGTCAGGACCAGTTACGAGACAGTTGTCTCTTGTCCCGTGACACATGGACATCTTAAAGAGCTCCGAGTTCTTCATCACACTTGCTGGTTGTGGAGAAGGGACCACAAAATGGAACTTAATAAGGCTTCAGTTTCAGGTGCCTCCGGGACTGCTGGCTCAGTACCACGTCATCTGCCTTCGCTGTCACACTGTGGTGCTCTGTGGCTTTGGAGAGCTGTCAGGCAGGGTTGGGAAAGGCATGGCCCACACAGCCACAGGGCATGCTAGCTTATCTAGTCTTCAGTGGTCCGGTCTGCCAGCCACCACCCATACCAGACCTGCTTACATATAAACTCTGGAGAATCGAGTCCAGTTTGAAGCCTGCTTCTTTGGGCTCTGTTGAACTTCTGGGATTGCTTGCCCCAGCCGTTCCTTCATACTTCTGCTGATTCTCTGAAATGTTTCCACGAAGCTAGGGGCTCTTGTTCTTCTGCAGCCCAGGGTTAGGAGAAAGAGATGACACTATGGCTAAGGTACTTGGACGGTGCGGCGAGTTTGCTTTGTGGCTGGGCTTCTCAAGTAGGATGGATGGTTGGAAAACCAGAACCCCAGTCCCCACAGTGGCATCAAGGATCACTCTCTCCTTGGGGCTTCTGAAGCCTTAACACACGGGCAGGCATGGAAGCGGGGAGGCTTTATTCTCTAGGCAAGAGATGCAGTCCGGTCTGAACTTAGTTGAAAAGAAACTCTGCTGGTAAGAATGTATTTACAAAATGTTTAAGAAGCCTTTGACATGTTTTCTGCAGCAGATTTGTGTTGAGTCTCAAAGAAGCATTCCGTCAAAGAAATCAGAGGCAGGAGCTTACAGACAGCGAGGCCTCTTTTGAAGCAGAATTAAGTGTAATGTTCTGTGCTCATTCAAAAAAGAGAAGAAAGAGAGAGAAGCATGCTTAGCCCCATCGCCAGCACCCCCGCCCCGCCCCACCCCCAGCGGCACAGGGAAGGAACATCATCCCCTGGCAGATGAGTCACTTGCTGGTTTGTTCCATATTTATAGCAGCGCTGCAGAGTTTATGATTATAGTTTTGAAGCCTTGGCAGTGCGCTTTGTGCCCAGGCAGGCTGTGCGCTTTTGTTATTCCCGGCCCTGTTCTCTGCTCCTCCTTGCTTCCAGGAGACGTTCAGATTCTGGCAAAGGAGCAGATTTTCTTCATGGTAGAAACAAACGCCCAAATTCCCCCCTCTCCTCACACCCAGACACAAGGGAGGAGTTGCACTAAGAAAAAGCCGACCCTTGGAGCTGGCACTGGGGAAAACAAGGCCTAGGCTTGTATCCCAAAGACTTTGTCAGTGATTCTTGGTCATAGTTGTTTTGGTGGGTCACCAATATGGTGCCCAGAGCGAGTCTCACTTCTTGTCCTAGTAGCTTATTGGCAGTTTGCTTCTTCCCTGAAGGCCCACCCTCTCCCGTAAGACATAAGATAACCCTCCTATTCATTTTAAAATGTGCATGATTTGGATGGGACCATATGGCAGTCTCCTTCCCCATCGTGTGGCCCATCTTCTGAGCCCCTGTGGTTTGCGAACCCTACCCGTGACAGGGTTCTCGGCAGTGTGACGGTCTCTTTCACTGTTAGATACTCAAGTTGTTGGGACAAATGACCCTCTCTGCCCACGTGTTCTGCATCCATAGACTAAATCGGCTGCATGAACAGTGTCATACGGCCTGTCCTGATCACTGAGCCAAACAAGCACAGAGTTTATTTTTTTCCTTGTCAGGACGGTGAGTGCTTGTGTAACATTTACCCCGGGTTGGGTATTGTAAGTAACCTAGAGACGATCTAAAACACGGGGGGGGGGGGGTATAGGTAAAATGGAAACATTAGAACATTGTGTATAAGAGACTTACGCATCTGCAGTAGAGGGTGCCCTGGAGCTGCTCCTCAGGGCATACTGAAGGATGTTTGTGTTTTTCTCAGGCTGTGCTTGTCTTCTTGGGGTTTCTATTGTGAAGAGGTACAAAGAAACGACTTAACTGGGGTGGCTTGCTTAGAGTTCAGAGGTTCGGTCCATTGTCATCATGGCAGAGAGCATGGCAGTGTGCAGACAGACGTGGTGCTGGAACTGAGTCCTTACAACTAGAGCATGGCAGTGTGCAGACAGACGTGGTGCTGGAACTGAGTCCTTACAACTCGATCCGAAGGCAACAGGACATGAACTGACTCACTGGGCATGGCTTGAGCATATATGAGACCTCAAAGCACACCTCCTCAGTGATGTAGTTCTTCCAACAAGACCACACCTATTCCAACAAGGCCACACCTCCTAATAGTGCCATTCATTTTGGTGAGGGATATTTTCTTTCAAGCCACCACAGTGATAAACATTTTGACTCTGGCCTAACATGCAGGCTCTTGCCTCCTTCAGCTCCACAGGGAGCCCTCACCAGACTGGAGAGAAAGCCATGCCGTTCTGACGTCTTCTCTCTTGACATCCCATCATCTGCCTGTCCTGCTTCTCATCGTTCCGTTTTAGTCTCTGTCCATCCACCCTGAAGAGACAAGCAGAATGTCATTGTGCTCTGCGAGAATGAGCCTTCTCTGTGTAGTTAATCCATCCAAAAGCTAGCCACTTGTTTATTAAACCACTACTGTTGGTAGAACAGCCTCTCTAACCCTACTTAGAAGATAGGTTGGGGTGTGGGAAGTCTTATAATATGTCAGTGGTTGCAGAGACTACTGTTTACTGTTTTAAAACACCACTAAATGTTCTTAGGTTTGTTATATTTTATGCATATGTGTGTTTTGCCTTCATGTATGTATGTGTACCATGTGTGTGCCTGATGCTCATGGAATTCAGAAGAGAACACTGAATCCCCCGAAACTGAAGTCTTAGATGGTTGTGAACCACAAACCCGGGTCCTCTGTAAGAACAGCAAGTGTTCTTATCTGCTGAGCCATCTCTCTAGCTCCATGCTCCCTGTTTTATATAGAGCAAAAGGTTTTTTTTTTAAACATTTATTTATTTATTTATTATGTATACAATATTCTGTCTGTGTGTATGGCTGCAGGTCAGAAGAGGGCACCAGACCTCATTACAGATAGTTGTGAGCCACCATGTGGTTGCTGGGAATTGAACTCAGGACCTTTGGAAGAGCAGGCAGTGCTCTTAACCACTGAGCCATCTCTCCAGCCCCCAATCAAAAGGTTTTTTGTTTGTTTTGTTTTGTTTTTTGGAGACAGGATAGCCCTGGCTGTCCTGGAACTCACTGTGTCCGACCAGAATTTTATATAAGAAGAGAAAAACTTTGAAGCCCTGAGAAACAAAACTCATGAGCTACAATTTTAAAGTATAAGTAAATAGGATATTCATTGGTACCATTTGACTGAACATAGTTTTTTCCACAGGCTGAGGAGATGGCAACCAGTAAATGCCAGGCCAGACACACCTCTGTTTCCACATTGGTCTGCCGCCGAATATTTTGTTCAAATAAATTAAGACTGTGAATCATTGTGTGTGAATAGGGTGCAGATTTTATATTTAGATAGGCTAATTTAGGCTGGGGGTTTAGCTCAGTTCTTGCTTAACACAGGAGAGGCCCTGGGTCCTCGGCACTGATAAAAAAAAAAAGAAAAGAAAACCAACCCTGCCCCCCAAGTTTAACTTGCTAGGAAAACAGAAGCATCATTTTAAAAAAAATCTACAGGCAAGGACCTGGATTAGAGGTTTGGTGAGAGGTGGAAGCAGAGGCAGGAACGTGAGGAATGGGTAGAGAAGCCACGCTCGGGGGCTTTTGCAGGCCGCTGTGCTACTTACAACAACTTACACAGTATGTAGTCACCCTCCCTTGCCGCCTTCCTGTGGGTTGTTTTTTTTTTAAATGATGCTCTGTTCCCTGGCAAATTCAGATTAGTGGGTCCACAGCCGGAGTCCCAGCTACTTAGGAGCCTAAGCAGAAGAATCTGTTGAGTCAGAAGTTCAAAACCAGCCTAGGCAACACCTCCTATGTTATACAGTAATGTGTGTAGCTAGAGTGGTTCTGTGCATCTCCCCACCGGTTTTCAAAGCAGCAGGGGGAGGAGTCAGGTGATTGTATTTAGCCTAGAGCATGGGTACCATGAGGACTTTTGCAGAAACACACAGGTTCCAGAGTCCCGTGGTAATCTCAAGATGCCAGGCTCCCAGAGCACTGACTACTCTTCCGGAGGTCCTGAGTTCAATTCCCAGCAACCACATGGTGGCTCACAACCATCTGTAATGAGATCTGGTGCCCTCTTCTGGCCTGCAGGCATGGAGGCTGAACACTGTGTACATAATAAATAAATCTTTAAAAAAAGATGCCAGACTCCCCCTCCCCCCCGCCCCACTCCATCCAGTGATATTTACTCTGATAATATTAATCGATTTATTAAAACATGTTCTTCCCCACAAATGAAGGAGTTTGTCTGAAAACAAGCCAACACAAAGCCGCCTGACCCGGCAGTCATCCAGTTCGGTGTCTCCGTCTTCTAATGCCCCAGGCTCCTGTTCGCCAGACGGAGTTGACCCGCAGTTCTTAGAAGACTACCACAAGATGATCAAAGGGGGCTCCATCGAGGATGCCAGCCAGTACTACTGCGACAAGGTGAGCACTTGGCCCGAGTGGCTTGGTGACCCTCCCTGGTGGGCAGGCAGATTGGTTGTGACAAAAAGAAATATCTTGTCACAAACCACCGCAGAGGGAAGGGATGTAAGCGACTCTCACGTGTCTTCCAGAATGATGAAGGTGACGGGTACCTAGTCCTGATCCGCATCACACCAGATGAAGAGGGAAGATTTGGATTTAATCTTAAGGTATGCTGTGAGTGTGCCTTTAGGTTACGTGCAGCAGAACAAGCCTTCAGGTGGATTTTGAGTTTCAGTCAGAAATCTGCTACACACCCACACCGCATTAACAAAATAAAGCAAAGCCTCCCTTGGGGCTGTAGAGGTAGCTCAGTTGCTAAGGTTCTTGCTGTGCAAACAGGAGGACCTGATTGCAGTCCTCAGAAACCATCATACAGAGGAGGGTGTGGGGGTGCACTCCTGTGAATCCCGATGCTTAGGAGGCAGAAGCAGCAAGTTCTGAGCTAGTGAAAGACCCTGTCTCAAGGAACAAGTTAGATGACTCTAGAGGAACGAGAGCCCGAGGATGACCTCTGGCCTTCACCCCTATACACGTGTGTGCATGCATACCTAGACACACATGTGCATGCATTAATTCAAAACTACTCAGGGCTAAGAATTGGCCTTTTATACGATTGTACGTTACCTTGCGTTTAATGCAGTGTCCTGACATTTGTGACATTATACTAGATTTCTGTCGTCTTATTGAGCTCTTAGAATGAGTGGTTGAAGCAGAGAATGCGGGGACTAATGCCCGTAACTCAAACATGTCAGAGGCTAACACAGGAAGATTCTGAGTTTGAAGCTGGCCTGGACTACATACCAAGTCCATGACCAGCCAGAGCTATGGAGACCTAGAAATGGAGAAATAGATAAAGCATACGACAGTTGTTAAACAGATCCTACAAACAAAACTAAGGCTCAAAAAGTAGAGTATGTGGTGGTTGGTCAGACGCAGCCCACCAGCCACCCTGGAGGGATTATTTAGAGAACACTACACCCCTGCTGTATGATAAGGGAAGCCAGAGCTTCGAGTTCCCAGGCCTCCTTGTCTAATGGGTCCCTCTAGGCAACATCTACAAACTGCTACCTTGGGCCAGCGCCCTGTTTGTGTACAGAGCATCATTGAAACAGGTGCTGCGCCCATTGGATTCCAGCTTCAGGGATTCATTGGTGGAGATAATGACTGCCTCAGGGTCCTCCTTCCCACACAGCTTAAGTAGCTGTTGAGGAAGCACCACCTAACTTCCTGCCTCACTCACTCCCCCTACCCCCCCTCACCCACCCCCATCTCGTGAGGGGGCTGCTAGCCTCTGGCGGATCATACATACCCAGTTCTGCCCAGCCTCTCTCCAGGGCTCTGCCCACAGGTGGACCACTCACACAGTCGGGGGAGCACTCACAGTTCACACAGCCCTTCCTGAGGCCTTGTGCCTCCTCTTTTGGAAAAGTTAACATAGCCCCTTTTCAGGAAATGCTGTTGGGTCCTCCAAGGGCATCTTCCGTTCAGGTGATGGGGATGTCAAGATACACTTCTGAGTGGAGTTCTGGCTCACCTGCTGGGTAAAGAGGGGTCCACAGTGTGTTCTGTAAATTCTGCAAGTGGTCCCCAGCCCTGTGATTGGCCCTCCTCTCAAACCTTCTGAACTATCAGGCTTACGTTTGCTGTCTCTACATAGCTTTGCTGGCAAAACTACTCCAAGCGTTTTGTTTTACTTCTGGTTTTGTTTGCTTTAAAACATTTATAGGGAGGAGTGGATCAAAAGATGCCTCTTGTGGTCTCAAGGATCAACCCAGAGTCCCCTGTAAGTAGACATAGTCTATGCTACTTCCTGTGTTTGCTTTCCCCTAAGCCAAACAAGTTTCTATTTCTGGGTCCCATTCCTGGGTTTTGTTAGGGTTTAGTTTTTATTTGATTGGTTGGATGGTTAGGTGATCGACTCCTTGCTTGGCGTGATCAGTAGCAACGTGTCGTTGGTAATACAGACGCAGACAGATGGAGGCCAAGAGAGGGACTCAGGTTACCTACAACCGTGCTGGGCAGTATGGTTCCTGAAACTGCAGCACCGTGTCACCTGGGTCCTTGTTCTAGGTGCAGAACCTCTGGTCAGAGCACAGGTGCAGGCTCAGGCCCGTAGTCCTGCCTACCCTGGATCTGTCTGTAACAAGAGCCTTGGGTGATGCATTTAACTTTGGGAAGTGCCACTCACGGGAAGGAAACTGAGAGAGTTGCTTTTGGCTTGCCTCCAATAGAGATCCTTTGCCCCTTTCTGTGTACATATTTAAGGTGTAGCAGGTAGGTGAGTGGACCTGCTGGCTTTCCTGGCTTTCGTGTGATGGTTTGTGTTTGTGAAAACATTGTGACATGAGCGAGTCACTGTACCTTCTCGGAGGGGACCACATGGACAGAGGGGTCACTCTTGAGTCCTCATAAAGCTTACCGCAGGGGGCCGGGGAAGCTGGCTCAGTGGATGTCACTCAAGCGTGAGGACCAGGTTTACATCCCCGGTACCCATGTAAAAGTCAGGGGCAGCTGTGATGGCTACTGTAATCCTATTGTGTGGGAGCCAGACAGGGGATCCCAGAGCAAGCCGGGCAGCAGGACTAGGTGAGCTGACAAACTCCAAGAGGAGTGAGAGACCCTGCCTTAGTAACGGGGTAGGAAATAATCAAGGAAGATACCATTGTCCGTGTATGCATACATGTGGACACAAACACACACACACACACACACACACACACACACACACACACGGTTTTTTGGTGTTTTGGTTATTTGTTTTTTAACTTGCTGTTTACCAGTTATTTTCATTTGTGGTTCCTAGGGAGTAAGACTTGTTTTCCCATACCGTTCTGTTCATCATCTTTCTGCACAGTGGTTTCTGCCCCTGCCATAGAGCTGGTTCTCTATTATAAGACAGACAAATGTTCATTCATAGCTGGCTAGGTGTTTTCAAACAGTCTGTCCAAGAAACAGAAGGTTGGAGGCATCGTTGAGCCATTTTAATCAGCACGGTGGGCTCCCGTGGAGAAACCCTTCAAGAAACTTGACTTGTTGGTTCTGAAGTGTCTCATAGCCTGCATTCTGAGCCCCTTTAAAATCCCACCGCCAGCTGCCATGTCCACCTAGCAGCAGCTACGCACACGGAGACAGTGGTACCCAGGGGAGAGGAGGTGAACTTGATAGCGGTCTCAGGTGTCTGGGATCAGGGAGAGGCTGCCTTTTGCTTCCCCTGGAGGCCAGCGCTATGGTAACAGACTCACTTCCCTCCACCAGGCGGACACTTGCATGCCAAAGCTGAATGAAGGGGATCAGATCGTGCTGATCAATGGCCGGGACATCTCAGAGCACACTCATGACCAGGTGGTGATGTTCATCAAAGCAAGTCGGGAGTCCCACTCGAGAGAACTGGCCCTGGTGATCAGGAGGAAAGGTAACACACAAGCCCTTGGGGGCGGAGCCACAGGGACAGTGCTGTAGAGGAGGAGCAGCGTCCTATCTGCCCAGTTTCTTTGTGTTCTGATTCTCTGAGACAGCTCCCACACTGTAGCCCAGGTTAAATGCCAGTTTGTAGCAATTCTGCTTCCTGGATGTTCTGATTATAAACCTGCCACTCCATTCTGGGCTGTGTGCTGTTTTCTACAATAGGAGTCAGCGTTTGAAAATGAATTTTTTAACAACTAGGGTATCTGGCTTGTCACCACCATGAACAAAAAAATATGAAGGTCTGTCTGCAGGGGCCCTGACCGCTCCTGGCCGGGCCTCTGGAGAATGCAGCCCCAGTACCCCTTTACATAGGCCTAGAGCCCTGTAATTCTAACTGCCCAGACCCAACTGGCTCACAGCCCACCCTTCTTAACTTGCCTGGCTCTGAAGGAGACTCACTAGGTCCTATCTTATTTTTGCTTGTTTGTCTTCGATAGGGAGGAAGGCAGGCTGGATCAGAGAGCAGGGGCCCAACTCTGCCTCCTTGTACTGAGGAACCTCCAAGTTAGCCGGTCTTCCTTATCGTTCCTCAGATGTTACTGGAGCAGAGGTGGCCTAGACTCTTCCTCAGAACTCTTGTGCGGATTAAATGACATCCTTGGAGCACTGGGGAAGTGGAAGTGTGCTGTGGCCATGTGAAGAAAGGCCTGTTGAATATCCTTACTATTACTGCTGCTGTTTTACTATACTAAGCCCAACACCCCCACCTAGGGATTGTGAGAGAATAAAGGAAAGACGGACACACAGACACAGGACAAGTGGGCTCATGTGAGCTGTGTGCACTCTGGTAGATGGCACCAACCACTTCCACAACCTAGAACCTCAGTGTGTTTACTGTGGACCGCACAAGGGAGGCGTTAGCTAGACTCTGTAGGCGGCATCTGCCGGCAGCCATCTCGGGCTGTGAACATCTGGGAGGAGGAAGCGGCAGTTGCTGGATTTCGTCCACGCTTTCCAGTCATTCATAAACACTCATACTTGGACTATGGGGTGGCTATGCCATTCTGAGCCTGACCTGAGGAAGGCTTGGCCAATTTTTCATGGGTCCAAGGCACTGGTCCTTGACATGGCTGTGCCTGTGACCACAATCCGCATTCATTCAGGAATTCGTCTGCTCTTTATCAACTCCCTCGAAGCTGCCTCGGCTCCCCACACTTCTGTACAGCCATTATTATTATTAATATTACTATTACTACTACATTTATCCTATCATTTTTGTATGTATGTGCGTGTGAGTACTGTGTATACATGTACTTAGAGATCAGAGAACCACCAAGCAGTCAGTTTTCTCCTGCCATGATCTGGGTCCTTGCAACCAAACTCAGATTGTCAGGTTTATTGACAAGTTCCCCTACCCACTGAGCCATCTTGCTAGGATCATTTAATGAGGCAAGTGGCCATCACCCCTGGTGTCCTGGACCATTGTCCCATCCATTGTGTCTGTTCCAGCTGTGCGCTCCCTGGCCGAGATCAGATCCGAAGATGAGCTGAGTCAGCTTTTCCCAGAAACCATGTTTCCTGTATATCCTGAGGGCGGGGACAGTCTGGAGGGATCCATGGAACTGCTGAAGAAAGGTCTGGAAAGCGGTACGGTGCTGATCCAGTTTGAGGTAAGGGGATCCCGGGGCCTGAGTCTCCCCCAGTTAAAGCCACTCACCGTGTGCCTCTGCCGCAAGTGAGCAGCAGACGGCAAAGCTAAAACATGGTCCTCTCTCCTTGGCCAATGGACTGTGGTTCAAAGGGCTCAGACAACAGAGTCTCGGTGAGGACCATAGTAAGGCTTCTACTCCCCCAGGACTGATGGAGGCCCCCTCTCAGTCTCAGAATGGTGAAGCATCAGGTGAAGGTCCAGGACCTCTCCCAGGTGTTCAGCTCCCCCCTGTCTTCTAGCAATGATCTATAGGCAGGGCTGGCCTGTCAGAAACAGAGTGAGAGGCTCTGAGCCTGCAGAGCTGCCAGCAAGAGCTCAACTCCCAGGACAGAAAATGGTGCCGTACAGAGGATGGTGGCATGTCAGCAGTCAACCCCCAACTACACATGGGAATTTAGAGAGTTGGTATCCACCCCGTGATGGCAGTGTCTGGCCTTCCGAGACCACCAGACCACAGAAACGTAAAGTCGAAGGATGCATATACAGTATACATGATAATGCCTCTGTCCGCAGAAGCACCCGCAGAGGCCTTTCACACAACCCCCAAAAAGCAAAGCCGCTTTCAAGTCGGTTTTATCCACCACTAGTCAAATGAAAATAGAACGCGTTAATCGGCCGTGTGTGTTTGGAGGTGGAAGAGGGCAGTTGTTCATGCGGTGAACAGGTAAATGCATGGTGACTCAGTATGCTGGAGGCTGAGGCAGGAGGATTGTAAGTTCGAACCTGGCCTGGACCACATGGTAAGACCCTGGCTCAGAAAGGAGTTTAGGGTAGGGAAAGAAGAAGAAAGAATACCAAAGAACCTAGTTAACATTGTTAACACAGTCGGCAATGCCACACGTGGTCTCGGCTCACAAAATAAGATAAGAGGCTCTGAGGGGGTTCAGAAACAGAGCATCAGTTATTAGAAAAAGCCTGGAAGGAAAAAGACGAGGGAAGGCGGGCAATTTGTCAATTTGTATCTGACTGCGGAATGGCTCGGGAAGAGAGCGTAGCACAGCTGGCAGGTGGGAAGGAATGCCGAGCAGAAAGCCTTAAGCAAAAGGCTCACCTTGTGGTAGCCTAGGGCCCAGAATGTAAACCATGCCAGAGCAGCATGAGCGGAAAAGCAGAAGAAACCACTCCATGGGAGGAAAAGCAGAAGTGGTTCGTTCCTCCCCTTCCACGCCACCCCCCCACCACCACCACCACCACATAGAGATTTCTCTGTTTCTTAATGAACTGGTTTCTGGACAAGGAAGGTCAAAGCTTGCGTCTTGTGGCAGTCAGTGGTATCTGGATGAGAAACTGGTATGAGCAGTCCGGAATAACTGAAGTGAGGCTTCAAATCCAGGCTCAGAGCTGAGAGGGGCACGGGTGGATTGTTTGTTCATTCGGCCCCAAGCCCCAATCTGAGGTACTTTGGGGGTGTGATGAGGGATGGAGAGATGGCCCCTAGCCACAGGGAGCTTGCTATCTAATTTTGGTATATTTAGGAGGCTGTATCATGAGACCAAGCAACATTCAAGATTTTATAATTGTGAGTGTATGTTCCCTGGCGACTGGTAATTCCAGTTGATCAGAATATCCACAAGGAGGCACTGTGGGCTCTCCTTGGGAACTTGAAGTCGTGCTCTTTCCCTAACTAAAAGTCTTCTCTGGGCTCTTGCTTCAACTTTGGTGTGTTTTTTACCTATAGGAAGCCCCCATAAGGGTCCCCTTGCAATGATTTCATCAGCTTCTACAAGTATTTTCTTTCTTGTCCCTAGAAGTCCAACACACTATATCCATTGCACCACAGAGCCACCTTTTAAAGTATTTCTTAAAGGGTGAGCCTGTAGCCACTTGTATGGAAATCACGTGGGGAGCCAGGGACCTAGCTCACCGCTACCAGGTTTGGGTGTTTCAGCAGCGTCGCCTGAGAGTTAGTGTGTGTTGGGGGCACTAATTTATTACTAGTGCATGACGTGGAAATGAACTTGTACTGCCGTGTGCATGGAGAGGCCAGAGGACAGCCTTGTGAAGGCATCTATTTTCTTTCTTGGTTTGTTTCCTGAGGCAGGATTTCTCTCTGTAGCCCTGGCTGTCCTGGAACTTGCTCTGAAGACTAGCCTGGCCTCAGACTCAGAGATCCTCCTGCCTCTGCCTCCTGAGTTCTGGGATTAAAGACCTTCACCACCGCCACCTGACTCCTTTATTTTCTTAGATGTGGGTTTTGGAGATTGAACTCAGGTTGCCAGATTTCTGCATCAAGCACCTCTCCTGTCCTCATTTGAAGTGTTGAAGCATCAGTTAATCCCAGAGAAGAAGGCAGAAATGGTATTAGGCCCGCTGCCCGCCACTGCCTCTCCCTGCCCTCCAGAGGATGATGCCTTAAGAACATGCACAACTGGGCAGTGGTGGCGCACACCTTATTCCCAGCGCTTGGGAGGCAGAGGCAGGTGAATCTCTGAGTTTGAGGCCAGCCTGGTCTGCACAGCAAGTTCCAGGACAGCCAGGGGCTACACAGAGAAACCCTCTGTCTCAAAAAAAAAAAAAAAAAAAAAAAAAACCATTTGCAGTTTACACTTCAGTCTGGTGCAATTATTTTATATTCTAATAAGCTCTTTAAATAAAGTCATATTGAAATCTAAGATACTGACTGGATAAGATAGGTCTAATCTTCAATGAAGTACTGGATCCCAGAGCTCCCTGGGTATCCCTCATTGCCCCTCAAAGAGCTCTAGGCGCCTGGGAACATCGTGTGACCCAGCCATCTCAGGGTAGGAGGCTGTCTTCCAGCACTAAGCAGAGGGAGCCAAGGGAAGCCAGAGACACAAGAAAGGCAAACTTAGCGAGCCCTCGCTGTGTCCAGGGCAGCGGCTTCTGTCATTCTCCCGCTGTATTTCTACATATCACTCTGTAATTTCTGCCTATCACTCTGTAATTCTCACGGTGCCCCTGTTAGGGCAGTTTCATCCCCAGTGCCCAGGAGGAGGAGAATCTCAGTTAAAGGGCTCATAGTAGAAGTCAGAGAGCCTGACAGGAGTCCAGGCAGAGTACCAATACCTCGAGCTTATCCTTTTAACCAGCATGTACACGGGCTTAGGAAACTGAGATGCCCTTGGCCTGTGAAGTTGTTATTAGAGGCATACACGTCAACGCTATCTGGGAAGCTGTCTAGCCACATGGAGCCAGACAGACTTTAAACTCTGACTCTTCCCCTTACCCTCTTCCCTTAACCTCTATGGCCCTTGTCTCCCCATGTGTAAATTGGGTGTCTCCTGAACTGATTATAAGGAGTGGATAAGATAAATACTTAATGCATTATCTGGCCCGTGATTAGAACACTATAAAAATTAATAGCTGTTATTATTTATAAAGCAAGAGAGGCTTCAAGAGCATACCCAGCCTGCGTAAGGTATTGTCACTTGGCACTGAGCTTGGAGCCCTGGGCTGTAAATTCCAGAGGCATGACTGTCTGAGTCCTCTCCCATCCTCCAGTACCTTGACAAGTGGGCTGCTCAGCTGGTGGCGGCTGTGCTCTGTGGACAACTGCAGGAGAAAGATCCTGGTTCCCAGCCGGCAGTCATACTGCCTCCTCCGCGACACAGAGCGCCTGCCTGAGGCTTGTGGTCTGCAGACAGACCTCCCCACCCTCACTCTTGTAAAGCTTGCTATAAACATCCTTTTTTTTTTTCATTAAGAGAATTCCTTCGTCCGTTTCTGGGTCTTCCAGTAAACAGAAGGTCCCCGTTTTACCAGAACAACCATGGTAACTAGCAATTCTGAAGCGCTTTGCCATCTACCCAGTGTGTCTCTCCTGCTTCTGCATCAGCCCTCACTCGGCCTGTGAAGTAGATGTGGCAGGAATTATTAGAATCAGTCTTCGTATTCTTTTGGTGCTCAAGATTGAATCCAGGACGTCTGCCACGCTAAGCATATACTCTACCACCGAGCCCCAGCCCCAGCCCCAGCCCCAGCCCCAGCCCCAGCCCCAGCCCCCAGACCACTCTTTTAGAAGTGAAGAGAAGTCGGTTCAGAGGTGTTCAGGAACTCATCCCACGCACACACCTTGGAATTAGATCCGTACTGACAATGCAAATCTGGGGCTAGAGAGATAGCTCAGCTATTAAGAGCAAACACTGCTCTTCCAGAGGACCCAAGTGCAGTTCCCAATGCTCATGTTGGGTGGCTCATAATTTCCTCTAACTCTTGATCCAAGAGATCTGGCTCTTCCTCTTCTAGCCTCCACAGTCACTTACACACATGTGCCAATCATCACATTGACACACATGAACATAACTAAAAATAAAAGACAAAAGGTTTTGTCTAAAGACAAAAATCTAAACGCTAAGTATACCTGGGTGGGTATCAGACACCTATGGTCTGAGTTACTTGGGACCCTGAAGCGAAAGGAATACTGAATCCCAGGAGTTTTGAGACCACTCTAGGCTGCATAGCAAGACCTTGTCTTGAGTACACACTTAAAAACTCAATCACTAGCTGGGCGGTGATGTCAAAGCCCTTAATCCCAGCACTTGGGGCAGAGGCAGGCAAATCGAGGCCAGCCTGGTCTACACAGAGAGTTCCAGAACAACCAGGGCTATGCAGAGAAACCCATGTCTCAAAAAAAAAAAAAATTAAAAAACCCTCCAATCATCAGTAGCTCATGCTTACTGGGTGTGACTCAACTCTTTCTCACCCTGCTTCTCTCTGGCCTACTCTTAGCTACTTTCTCCTTGGAGACCTGTGGAGTTCAGTTGATAGAAAATGAGCATTGCAAGGGATTAACCTCTTCCCTGGATGAACGGACAGGGGATGGTTAAGTGGAATAGATTGGCAGATGGACTGATAAATGGATGGGTGAGGAAGATGGATGAATAGGTGGGTGGGTGGCTGGGTGGATGGATGGATGGATGGATGGATGGATGGATGGATGGATGGATGGATGGGCGGGCAGATAAGGAACAGTATTCACAAGAGACCACTGACGGTCCTTCCTACCCCATCTAACTTTGCCCATTACCTCACATCATCTGTCTTTACCAAAACAAAAAAAAAATCATCTCCGTCTGACCCCTGTCTCTTAATTGATGCCTACCTTGTCCTTCAAGGAACTACCCATTAGGGTCAAAACAAGTGACTCACTGACTCCTATGATAATTTCAGAATTTGTCTCTGGAAGGGTCGGGGTAGCTCAGCAAGGCTTCATCCGAGATTCAGATCAGTACATGTTGCAATTAGCAAGGACAGTTGTACCTTTGAGATTCGATCTGATCCCTGGAAAGACTGTTTCTGTCCGGTGTGGTGATACACACCTGTAATCAGGAGGCTGAAGCAGGAAGATGGAGAATTCTTGGCCAACCTGAGTCACATGCCTCCTGCAGGCAGGCACGGCTCTGGAGTAGTAGCTGAGAGCTCACATTTTGAGGTACAACCTCAAAACAGAGACACTGGGAATGTCTTTTGAAACCTCAAAGTCCACCCCCAGTGACACGCCTCCTCCAAGAAGGCCACACCTTCTTATCCCTCCCAGATTGTTGCACTAACTGGAAGCGCCTGTTCAAATACATGAACAGATAAGGGCCGCTCTCATTCAGACCACCACAGCCACATTCCGGTCATTTAACAAAAGTGACTTTGTATCTTATTATCCTCTCAGCAGGTCTTTACTACTGAGATACAGGTAAAATCATTTGATAAATAACACCTTAGGCTGGGTTTGTGCTTGTTGCTAGAGCACAATTGGTGGCATTTACATTTCTGTTATTTGAAAATATATCCATCCTCTTACTTATAGAGGCTGGCTCATATTCACTGAATTGAATACCTCCACAGAGCTAATTGGTTAGAAGAAAAATGCCATTTAGATAGACGTGACTGGCTTGTGAGCTGTCCTGCCAGACAGCACCTCAATCAGGCCAGAACCTCCAATAAATCACGAGTTCATTTCTGGAGTGGACGCATCATCTGTAAAAGCTCCGGGTATTTGGAGTCGGTTCAGCAGCTTCCCTTAGATTGTTAGGTGCTGAGAATGCCCAGGTTCTTGGAGAGCTGGCAAATACAAAACATCCCGTAGATGTATAAGAAACAAATACAGTACCCTTGTCATGGCCCCGAATCTCTATGTTAACTCTCCTCTGGTAAGTTCTATGCAGTTTGTCTAATGAGAGAAACAGGCCTAACAGATACCAGATTACAAAAACAATACAGTGCCCAGAAATACAGCTGAGGGTGGGTGTTCAGCCTCCCCCTTCAAGACGGAAAGCCGTCTTAATTGAGGATGTTGGCTATAGCTCGGTGAACCGACCAGTCTGTCCCTGCAGGGCAGTATATATCAGAGCCATTGAAAATATGCTCAGAAGCTGTAATTCTGTTCTCAGATACTTATCAGAGTAAAAAAGACTCTGGATTGGGCTAACAACAAAGTAGACTAAAAATTAAAATAAATTATAATAATTAGATTATTGAGCCATTAAAAATCATTGGAGTGGAGAATATCTTACAGTATTGGAAAGAGATACCATGTAATAACGAGGATGAAACAGGCTTTTAAGTTGCGGCAGGGTTTCCGAGAGTGCTCGCAGGCTATGAGATGCTGAGATCTTTCGGTCTAAATGAGCTTGGGAAATGTTTGGCTGCTCAGAATTAAAGAGGTTTATGCCTCATAGGACTTGTCTTGTTAGAGATTTGTAAAACACGGGGTAAAGAAAATTGATATTGAAATCTTTTCTGAGGAATATCGTGTTAGCTTTGTGTTGCTGGGTCAAACGCCCAAGACAAATAGTAGAGTAGAAAGGAAGGGAGGATTTGTTGGGGCTCGCAGTTTTGGAAGTTCAGGTCCACGGTGGCCTGGCTCTGTGGTTTCTGGACCTGTACTGAAGCAGACCATCACTGTTCAGGGCATGGAAAGCAGAGCTGTTCTCCTCAGCAGTCAGAGGCAGAGAGGCAGCCTCCTCACCTTCCATTCCAGCCTGGTCTTGTGGGAATGATGCCATCCACACTCGGTGTTGCTCCGTGCCCGAGTTAACCATCTCTGCAGAGTATGTCACGTCTTCAGAGCTTTACTGGTCTGATCTAGGCGACTCTCAATGCAGTTGAAAATCAAGATTAATTATCACAGCTGGGCCGTGGTGGCATTGTGAGTTCGAGGGTAGCCTAGTCTATAGAGCGAGTTCTAGCCCAGCTAAGGCTACACAGTGAAACCCTGTCTTGAAAAACAAAACAAAACCAAAAAAATTATCTATTACAAATACTTAGTGCTTTCAGATACTTTATTTCCATTGATATAACATGAAAAAGACCAGTAAGTACTTTATTTTCATTTTTTGATGTTAAGAAGGTAATATTGGGACTAGAGAGATGGCTTGGTCTTTAAGAGCACTTTCTTCTATTCCAGGAACCCAGTTTCATACCTAATACCTGTGCTGAGGCTCAAAACTATCTGTAGCCAGGCGGTGGTGGCGCACGCCTTTAATCCCAGCACTTGGGAGGCAGAGGCAGGCAGATCTCTATGAGTTCGAGACCAGCCTGGTCTACAGAGCTAGTTCCAGGACAGGCTCCAAAACCACAGAGAAACCCTGTCTCGAAAAACCAAAAAAAAACAAAAAACAAAAAAAACTATCTGTAATTTCAGTTCCAAAGGATGTTAGGCCCTCCTCTAGTTTCTTTTTTTCTTCCTTTCTTCTCTTTGTTCTCTTTCTTTCTTTCTCTCTTTCCTCCTCCTCCCCCTCCTCTTCTTCCCCCTCCTTCTTTTTCTTTGTGCAGCCCTGACTGTCCTGAAACTAGCTTATATAGAACAGGCTGACCTTGAACTCACAGAGATCTGCCACCTCTGCTTCCCAAGTGCTGGGATTAAAGGTGAACACCATTGCTCCTGGCTCCTTCTGTAGTTTCTCTGGACTCCAGACACATGGTGCACAAACAGACATGTAAGCAAAACACTCAAATACATAAAAATATTTATATATATTTATGCATATGTATTTATTTATACACATGCATTGTGTATGTTTACATACATACTTATGCATATTTGCATATATGATATATGTATACAGAAAATAATAAGCTTAAGAAAATATGTGAAAAGACCGCCTAAAAGTTGTAAAATTACAAGTAGGCTTTTGCTTCTTAACTTCATTAAGAAGGGGGAAAAATATGGCTTAAATTCCTGGAGCATTCCTAAGAAGCCCGTGTGCGAAAGGCTTGGTGACAGTTGTGGAAGCCGCTGTATAGACATGAGAGGGGCAGCTTGGCCAGCTTCCTTCAGACTTGAGTCTGTCCTCTTACTCACGGTCATGGCCCAAGCCTTTAACCTCCGACCGCCACTTATAAAAGTCCTTCCCACAGCTGCAGCAAGGATCATGTCAGCTCCTCTATCATCATGTCCACCCAGTCTGTGCAGATGATGCTTTATTCTGATTTTTCGCAGTAGTTGTATGTGTGGAGAACTGTCCCTTTAAATGGAGCTACGATATCAGGATCGGTGTTCCGCTGTGGGGATGTATTCCCGACATAATTAATAGTGAATGAGTTAGTCCTGCTCTTCAGCAAAGAGTATGCTTCATTCCATTGAACTGGAGGAAAATGTAGTTTTAGACTAACTGAGGTGAGTCACAATTCCTCCTCTCCATCCCCCGACACTTGCCAAAATTTGCTGTAAAAATAAGGTTTTACCCGGATCCATTATCTGTGACTCAACCCCTGGCTGCCTTCTTTTCTCTACACATCCTCGGGTTTGAATATATGTAAGGCTTTAGCTGACTTGTCATACCAAGATATGATTTCTTACCAAGGTTTCCTTATGCTGTGTAACAAAGGATCACTTTGAAGTGTTAAGATTGGGAGGTCTCACCAGGCAGTAGTTGCGCCCGCCTTTCATCCCAGCACTCAGGAGGCAGAGGCAGGCGGATCTCTGAATTCAAGGCCAGCCTGGTCTGCAGAGTGAGTTCCAGGACAGCCAGGGATACACAGAGTAATCCTGTCTTGAAAACGAAAGAATAAAATAAAATTAATAAATAGTGGGGTGGGGGGAATCTGCAGTGAAGACAGTTGCCATTAGGATATGCTTTCGGATCTTTCTTCATAGCAGTGGGGTTTTGGCAGGCTTGATGCTGTTTTTCTAATTCGTGTATTTGTCTGGTAGCAACTCTACAGGAAGAAGCCAGGCTTAGCCGTCACGTGTGCAAAGCTGCCTCAGAATCTGGATAAGAACCGATACAAGGACGTGTTGCCGTGTGAGTATCCGGCCCGACGCCTCCTTCCCCCTCCACGAGATAAGACCTCCCTTTGAAAACAGATTGTCTGGGGTTCCTGAAGGGTTTTCAGTGTGTCTGTAAACACCACCGTCTTTATGGCAGCCGTCTCAGACTCAGAACAGCTGGGTGGAGTAGTCCTTATGCTAATGAGGCAGTAGCTGCAGGTGGGGCTGGGAACTGAACCCCTGTTTACTTGGGGTGATAACAATAACCACTCAGAATAATGGGCGAATTTTTCTCTCTCCGGCAGATGACACCACCCGGGTATTATTGCAGGGGAACGAAGATTATATTAACGCGAGTTATGTGAACGTAAGCTGGGAATCTGGGGGCTGCGAAAGAACACATTGATCCTAGTAATGAGAATGGGGACAGCATGGGGGGCTTTGCCCATGACAAAGCACGCTCCCGTTCTCTCCATCGTTCTAGTGCAGGGGCTTTATGAGAAAATGGGTGGTCCTCACTTTACAGGGGAGCAAAAGCAGGTTCGCTGTATAGCTTTAAAAGCCACAAACCTTTGAGAGATGGAACCAAACACATTCTAATTCCATCATCCACCTGCCGATGGACTGGGCCATTGCCATTTCTGTGTTTCTTTCTGCTGGTGGTATGTCTGTAACCTTCTGTGTTTTGCCTTCATGTTATCAGTGTCCCCCTGCCTACCAGTAAGAGAAAAAGTCGTCCTCCATAGATATAGGGCAAAAGAGGAAAAAGGGAAAAGGTCGCCCGTCATGGGGGACACACGCATCATGGCGCCACGTACCCAAACGTAGATTTCTCCCTTTATAGCTAGAGTCAGCAAATTTTTCCAGTAGTGGACCACACTGAAAACCACTTTCAGGTCGCCAGATGGCAGGACTGGTCCCTGGGGCCATCGCGGGCTAAACCATGACCTTGCAGAACTGCCCCCGTGAGAACTGGTGTAATCAGCGGTTCCTCTGCTCCGTTCGCGTTACTATCAAATCTGGAGATGGCTCTGTGCCGCAGTTTCTTTTTTTCTTGCTGTGAGTGGATAAGATCTTTGTCGGGGATGGTTCAGATAGCTGTTAGAAAAGTATAGAATGGAGGCTCCTGCTCGCCTTGGGTCCGCTGACAGTCTGTAACGCCTCGCCTTCCTCCCAATAGATGGAGATGCCCGCCGCTAACCTTGTAAACAAGTACATCGCCACTCAGGGACCCCTGCCACACACCTGTGCCCAGTTTTGGCAAGTTGTCTGGGATCAGAAATTGTCTCTCGTGGTCATGCTGACAACGCTCACAGAACGAGGGCGGGTAAGTGACTTGATTTCCAGCTCCAGTGCGTGTAGACGGTGCTGTGTGGAACGTGAATCTCAGGACAGGAAAGGGTCTGCTGGTGACTTGTACATCTCCAAGTGGACACCTGCAGGGATGAGAAACTCAGCCTCCTCTTTGCCACTTCTTATGTGGATCTATTAAAGCAAGCATGAAGGGCTGGAGAGACAGCTCCGTGGTTTAGAGCGCTGGCTGTTCTTCCAGAGGACCAGAGTTCAGGTCCCAGCCCTCACATGGCAGCTCACAACCATCTGTAACTTCGTTTCCAGGGGATCCATCACCCTCTTCTGATTGATCTTTATGAACACTAGCACACACATGGCACACATGTACAAACACTCGTACACGTAAGATAGTATATCTAAAAATAATTCTTAAAAAGACAAGCTAGAAAGCAGTACCTCTCCCTTCACCCCACCTGCCCCACCCCTGTGCTGCCTGTGGCTCTGCTCACCACGTGGGATCGGTGTTTCACCTCACACAGTCAAGACTGCAGTCTGCAAAGGCGACGGGTCCCTTCCATCTGATAATGCACACCTTTGACTCTTGGCAACTTTATGCAGCCCTAGGCCAGACGGGGCTGAAAACAGTTCCTCCTGGTGAAGTTGCCAGCCTTTCTGACCTTGGCATTCCTCAACCGGCAGCTGAGACAGTGATAGCGCCCATCACCCTAGGGGACTGGGGAAGGCTGGGCAGTCTCTGTAATGAGTTCAGAGGACTGTGTGTTTCCAGTGTCCAGCAGACACCGTCATGGTCATTTGGATTTAGCTCTTTCAGCTGCCTTACTTCTTTGTCTCAAACGAACAAACAAAATAAATATAAACGTTGATATTAACGGGTGGAGGTGGAGCACTCATTTAATCCCAGCACTCAGGAGGCAGAGGCAGGTGGATCTCTGGGCGTTCAAGACTAGTCTGGTCTATGAAGTAATTCCCAGGACAGGCTCCAAAGCTATAGAAAAATAGCTCAGAAAAAAAATAAAAAAGTTAAACACACACACACACACACACCAAAAGAACCACTGATATTAGAGTCCAAGCGTTCTTTCCCGAGCCCTATATCTGAGGCCAGCCACGCTTACCTCCTTTTCTATTATGTATTGTGGAGCTAGGGCTACAATGTGAGGGACAGAATGTTCAAGTGATCCTAGACCCAGCTTGAGGCTTTCTTAGTGGCACAACGAGTCACGTGACTGCCACAAACAAGAATCTGCCTCCAGACCTGGCAGCCTCCGATTCTGGTTTGTTGTTGATGGCAGATACTCTACGTTCCGCCTGCCTTTGGTACTTTAGGTGCCCAGACTCTGTGTTTCCTATGGAGCCGTTTGCAAAGCTGATTCTCTGCTGTCCCCTGAGGTCTTTGAGTTCATGATGTCATTCCTCTGAGCCGCCACCTGAATCCACCCAGTGACTCAACACCATCATGGTCTTGCTGGTGTCAGGCTTCTTGCTGTTTGAAAGCTCCCTCCCACCCTTCCAGCTAGACAGTCCTCCTTCTTCTCAGAACCGGGAGCCCCTGAAGGAATGGCAGGTGACCAAGGATCAGCTCTGGTGGCAGCCCCTCCCTCCCTCCATCTGTTTGTTCTAGCTCAGGAAAGAAAGGTCTTTTCTGTGACCCGAGAAATCTCACCCTCATCCATCCGCTCTCCTAGAGCCTGCCCGTCCATCTGCCCTTTCCTGTCACCTGAGGTCTCCTTGTGGCCCAGTGGGTTTCTTTGTCTCCCTTTTCTTCTTAGTGTAACTCATCAGCCTGCTTCCATGTGCTGGAGGCCTGCCTATCCCTTCAGCATCTCGGGCCCGGGCCACTTACTCTGTCTGCCCTTCATCAATAGTTAGAGACCTGTTCTTTCCAAATCCAAAGTCCCTGCTTCCTTCTCCTGTTACAGATTCTTGGGTGACCTGCACCCTTTGTCCTCCAGGCCCAGTCGACTGCCACTCCTTCTGGCTCAGTCATTCCTGGTGAACGGCTTTGCCCTCTTTGGCTGTAAGGTGAACTTTCCAGGGCATCCCGCTCGTTCTCCCTATGCCTTCCGTGCCTGTAGGAGGTGGGTCTCCCGGCAGGCACGCCCTAGAGTCCCATGCCCTTCCTGTGCTGCATGGAGTCCATGCAATCTCCGTGTTCCGGGGCCACCTGCAGCGTCTCTCATCACCTGTGCTCAGAAAGATTGCAGGGGTCACTGACCTCTGACCTCTGTCCTTGTTCAGGCCTCCTGAGATGGTTTTGGGTAGGTTCTCTGTGGAGGCTTGGGGGAACCAATCTCCCTTGCCTTCCATCATAAGTGTGTTTTCCCTGGGGGTTGGGGGCTGTATTTTATATCTCCATATGAATAGTGTGGCTGGCTAATCTTTCCTGTCTCACTGGTCAGTTAAAGCAAGGCTTTGAATAGGACTGAAAGGCTCCAATTTCCACATCACCATAAAAGACAAAGCCCATCTCTTGAGTGGCTCTGAGTATTGAGAGTGGGTTTCTAGAAGGTTAAGTCCTGGTATCCCATTGTCTCACTGGACCAGAGGCAGTGGATTTGCTCTGAGTAGCGATAAAGACCATGACTGTCACAAGGCTGACAAGAAGAGGTTTGGGGTGACACAGGCCTGCCTCTTGGCACTCCCTCTGTTTCCTGTGTGTGCTTGATGCTGTGCCCATAGAGGTTAGATGGCTCCCTCCCCGTGGGACTGATTCCTGAGTCTGCTTAGTATCCAGATGCCCTCAGGTGCAAGCCTTCCAGCTCGTGAACCGCCAGGCCAACTGCTTACTTTCTGCTTGAACACATCTACTTAGTGCCATTATGTAAGATGCGCCCAAAGCCACCAACCAACCCCTCGTGTGTACACTTATGGAGCCCCTGCCCCCTGAGCCTACAGTCTGAGCCAGAGGCACAATCTACTTAACCTAGCCGCCAACGCTAGCCACCTGAGGCCCGTCTCAGCTCCCCCACCTCCTCACTTCATCCGCCCATCATTGTTCGGTGCCATTGGTACCCAAATGGCTCCCACTTTGTCCCTCTCGGTCCCTCCTACCTCTTCTCAGGACCATCCCATTTCCCTCGCCGCAGAAGCAACAGCTCACTGGCCCAGAATCTTCATAGGCTGGTTTATCCATTCTGCCTTCATCTGGGCTTTGACAGAGGGTCTGGGCCAGCGTGTCCTGCCCATCCCCTATAGATGCGCAGAGCAAAATGTTGCCTGCCTCCAGATCAACCTGTGCCCCTTGTGCAACTCTCCTGAGCAGTCTGTTGCGCCCAGGTGACCCTTTCCATCCTGCCTCCTTTTCCTGCAGCCTAAATGATTTGTTCTTGCCTCGTCTGTTATGGGCTTTTAGTCCTGGTTTCCATCCTGCCTCCTTTTCCTCCAGCCTAAATGATCTGTCCTTGCCTCATCTATAATAGGCTTTTAGTCCTGAGCTCCCTGACCACTCTGACCGTGACATCCGTCGCTCTAACCTGGCCTGCCCCCACCCATGCTTCCTGCCCTTTCTAGCTGCATTCCTTTGACTGGGTGGAAGAGCACCCAGAGGATAATGCCACAGCATCTCTGATTCACCAAACCCTCCCCCAGGGATGCTTGTTGACCAGCTAAGTTAGCAAGAAATTAAGAGCTGATGATACAGCCTTCCTAATTGGGTCCACAGCTCTCCCACAAACCCCATCTGGCCCATCTTCCTGAGACATTCTTCCTCTGCCATGAACCCAGCCTTCAGCATGTTTCTCTGGTCCCCGAGAGCACTTCCTTTCCAAAGCCGTTTCAGCGTGGCCTTTCCTTCCCTAGATCCTCTTCTGGGAGTCAATGGATGGCTGGGAGCAGAAGATGAGCGCAGTCTCATGAACTCACAATGCTCTGTGGAGGCAGTATTCCGAGTCCTTCTGGCGACATCTGCCAGTAGCTATGGCCTACCAACCAGCTGCAGTGGCTGTTGTCCTTCCACGACGCGCTTCTCTGTGGTGGCAGGCCCCCTTTCCTCTTACCGTCACAGCCCGGAGTGAAATTTGTGCTCTGTTCTCATAGTTCTTGTGGCCTGACATGGGGTAAATCCTCTGAGCCTTAGATAATCTATCCATAGTCACCATTCCTTGTGGCCAATATAAGCATAAAGGCACCCCTGGGGGCTTAACAGATACTTTTCCAGAGATGTGGGGCTTCTGTACCCCTCTGCCAGCAGTCATGAGACAGGCTTACGAGATGCACGTTAACAGGACAGAGAGCAAGGCCCTTCACGGACTTCCGATTCTTCCACTGCATCCCTAGTGTGTCCAGATCCAGAAAGACTTACAATGAGTCCAGTTCCCTGCAGATTCCTTGTGGATAAAGATACTGGAGCGTGTAGGTCTATGTAGCTCTGCCTTGTACAGGGACATTTCGCTTCAGAGAAGATCTTCCCCCAGCTAACCTAGGGTGGAACCCTGGGGAGCCGATGGGCAGTTTTCTTCTTCTGTACAGATGAGAGACACAGGTTCAGATGGACAGACAGGCATACAGTCTTTGTCCAGCAGTTCTGCCTCTGGCCCTGCAGACAGCAAGCACTCAATCTTGGAGAGGCGGAGAGTGTCTCCACCGGGGTAAATTTCCATCCAAACTGTTTCAGTGAACCTTTACCTCCAGCTCCCACCGCATACTCTAATTTCAGATAGTCACAGTGACATTTGAGAAGATGCTAGGAGAGCTGTTTCCCGACAAATTCCATGTGTCTGTTGGTTTATACCACCTTTCTGCTATAAACGAATGTCGTTTTTACTTACGTGGGCACCAGTCTAGATTTGAGGAGGATTTTTTTTCCCTCTCTAAGCTCTGCATGATGGCACATGCCTACAGTGCAAGCTCTCAGGAGACCGAAGCAAGAGGGTGGCTTGAGCTAGCTGGACCAACACAGAAATCTATAATATAATAATAATGATATGTAATTATTGGTGTTAAATGAGTCAATATTGGACAGAGTAACTATGGGCAGTTTAGACTTTCCCCTGTTGTGGAAGCCAGAAATGGGAGCCACAGTGGCTTCTGGAAGAGGCTACAGGGTTTGGAAGGGGGAAATAGAGCATGGGAAGGTAGTAATGTTAGAAAGCCACAGCTGGCATATTGGCAGACACTGTGACAAACCACAGGATGAATGCTAGACTATGTCATAGCAGCTTTGTGGCCATGGCTAGTCTTTTAGCACACAGTGCCCTAGATTTCTCCTTTGCTGTATGGGAAGTCTTGGCTCCACTGGGAATTTTTTTTATTTACTTTTAATTGTTTTAATTTTATTTTATGTGTATGAATGTTTTGCCTGTGTGTATGTCTGCGTCCCAGTGTGTGCCTGGTGCCCATGGAGGCCGGAAGAAGGGATCAAATCCCTTGGGACTGGAGTCACACATGATTGTGGGCTGGCATGTGGGTGGTGGGTACTGAACCCTGATTCTCTGCAGAGACAGTCAGTTGTCTTAACCTCTGCCCCATCTCTTCAGCCCACCTTTAAAAAATATTTTACAACTTTGATTTATTGTGTATGTGTGTGTGTGTGTTGAACATGCTTAGAGCACACATGTAGAAATAAGCATTTTTGGGTGTCAGCTCTCTCCTTGTGCCATGGATTCAGGGGATTAAACATTCATCATCAGGGTTACACAGCAAGTTTTTTACCCACTGAGCCATTCACCACCCTCAGAGGGACAGGTACAAAGTCTGTACCCTCCGAGGCCCCAAACCCTATTTCCTATGAAAGCATTTGAGGTTGTAGGAGGCCCTGTTCGCATGGAAAGGGATAGTTGTCTCGGCTTGGAAGTTTTTTAAATGAGGACTTTTGAGGAAGCTGGCCAACCTCATTCAGTTACTGTAGCTTTCACAACAGCAGTATTGATGACCCCCGTTGACCTCACCCACCAGTGCCTCCACCCTGCAACCTCTCCGGCCTCTGTCAGTGTGTGAAAACCTGAGATATAGACAGGTCAAGGGCTGTTGGAAGTCAAATGGCCAATAAGTGGAGAGAAAGTTCTTCCAGTAGCGCCCTATCTGATGCCCAGTGAGCTCTTAACTGCAGTGTCCCAAGGCTCCTGTGAGGGAGGTGGAGGATGAGGAGAGGTGAGGTGGCCAAGGCTGCTAAGAGCGTAAAAGAGGCCCAAGAAACCTGGATCAGCCTGGGCAGAGTGTAGGTAGCCCCCAAACCCATGCCGTATTGCTTTCCCATGAACAAACCACAGAGGAAAAGGTGACTCCCTTGGCCGACTGGCTTCTGGTAGGCTAGCCCACCCTATAAACCCAGGCCCCATTGCTCTCCCAGTGAACAAAACCTAGATGATAAGTTGACTCCCTTCTTCAGGCCATGGGCCCAAGTGGTCTCATCTGAGTTTCTCCTCTCCTGTCATTCCTCCTTGAACAGATGTCACTGGCTGCCATGCAGTAACTGCCCCTGGTTATGCCCCACAGAAAAACCTGACTCGTAGTCTCTGGTTTCTTATAGACCAAATGTCACCAGTACTGGCCAGATCCCCCTGACGTCATGGACCACGGCATCTTTCACGTCCAGTGTCAAGCAGAGGACTGTACCATTGCTTACGTGTCCCGAGAAATGCTAGTTACAAACACTGAGGTGAGTGTGGCCCTGAGGGACATGGTGGAGGGGCAGGCCCACTCAGGAGCCCCTGCGGAGTTTCTTGTTCACCTCTACTGCAATGTCACCTGGTTGGCGGAGAGCCAGTGTCCCATGTATGGAGCTCTGCCATTCACAGGGGCCAAGAGAGAGAGGCGGCCCTGGGGTCTGTCCCTCAATGGTGTGTGGGTAAACAAAATAGGCCTAGCAATGTAATAGTGTTCAGCCTCAAAAAAGGACATTTTGGGCAAATGCCAATGTGGGATGAGTCTGGAAGACATTATACCAAATGACTGGAGGTCAAAGAGGTCAAGAAAGCAATGTCTCTGGGGCAAGAGTGATGTTTTGGGAGAGTGGGAACTTAGTGGGAATTGACTAGACCATAGCAGAGCTGGCCACAGAAGCACAAGAGGACACTGAGGATAAGGCCACCCTGGCTGGTGTCCACGGCAGGGCTCACTGCTTTGATGACTCACCGAGGCCACGTCTTCCACAGACTGGGGAAGAACACACAGTGACCCATCTCCAGTATGTTGCGTGGCCTGACCACGGCGTGCCTGATGACTCCTCAGACTTCTTGGAGTTTGTGAAGTACGTGAGGTCCCTGAGGGTAGGCGGGGAGCCTGCCCTCGTTCACTGCAGGTACTGACCCTTAACTGCATTCTGTTTTCAATGGTTCTACCCCTTGGGAAAGGCCAGGCCAGGAGGAATAGTCAGACACGAAACCCACCCTTGTCTTACAAAGCCATGTGCTCCTGTTAAACTATGCTATTTCCTAACAATTTCTAAATACTTGAAACGTAGTGAAGCCATGAACATGTGCTGGACATATATAAATAAGTCATAAACAAGTGCAGCTGGACACTGAAAAGGAAAACCCTGCCACACCTCCTTGTCCCGAAGTTTCTGAGCTTGACAGCACTTATGATTTAGAGAAGGAGTGGACTTCCTGTTCCATGGATGGGTTTCTCATTAAGTCTGAGCCTCAGGACCTGTGGGAACGGGCTTTTTCTTTTGACAAGCTTAAGATCACACCTGAATTTGTCCTTTCTGTTCTTGAAACCAACATCAGGGCTCACCCGGATCAGCGTTGGCGGCCTTGATGAGGGGTTCAGCTCAGCCTTGCAGAAATGATTCCTAGACAGATCCTGAGTCTCTGTTTCTCTCTCCTCCCTAGTGCTGGAATAGGTCGAACAGGTGTGCTGGTCACTATGGAAACAGCCATGTGCTTAATTGAGAGGAACCTGCCTATTTACCCGCTGGATATTGTCCGGAAAATGAGAGACCAGCGCGCCATGATGGTGCAGACATCAGTAAGTAGAAACTCAGTAATTAAGAAAAGGTCGTAATAAAACACAAATGGTTGGCTGGGTATAGTGACGCACGCTTCTCCTCCCAGCACAGAAGACAAAGGCAGGTGGATGTCTGAGTTTGAGGCCAGCTTGGTCTATATAAAACATCCCAGGCCAGTCAGGACTATATACTGAGACCCTGTCTGAACAATAACAACAACCAGAAGGCAGAGATCCATATTTTCTGAGTTCACACAGGAGCAGTTATAGCCAGGGACGTCGAGGATAGGATGAAGCTCAAGGGAACTGAGTCAGTGCCTAGAGTCACACAGCTTGTCGGAGGTGCAGTGACCGCAAAGCCTGGGCCCATCTGCGTGCAGTCCGTGTACCTCTGGCGTATTCCAGATGTCACTCAAGCCCAGGAACGGCCCTGCTTGCATCCCATCATCACCATCAGAAGAAAGCAAAGTCACCTGGGATCCCTCACCATGGGCTGTCTCTTCCTGTGTTGTGCCTGGGGGTGCTTACTTAATATGACAAGTGTCCCTAGGAGGAAATACCCCGCTTGTCCTCCTCCTCACACACTGACAACCTTCTGGTAACCTGTAGGCCTCAGTTTCCCTGTCTTGCAGATGGGAGCTGTCCTGCCTTTGATCATTCATTCACTAGACTAGAGTTGTCTACACAGAAGCCACCCAAGCTTGGGTTGAGTAGAACTGGCTAATTTCGTAATCTCAGTCATGGTCTAGAAAAAATATTTAAGAATGAGTTGTCAAAGACAGGGTAGCAGCCTCCTGATGAAACCTCCGGGGTGGGTGAGAGGGTTTATTTAGCAAAGCAAGGACAGGAACTCTGTGTTCTAACCACCTCAGAGCCGTCACAGGCTGCTGGACAGAGGCTGTGATGTTTCCCTAGTAGATTGTGGATCCTTGGTTTATATCCGGGAACTACAGCACAGAGTTAACGTAGTAGGTAAGGATGCTTGTTCCCAGTCTGTGTGGGGTCTCCTGGAAGGCAAGCACCTCCCACTGCCACGCGAATAACTAAGAATAAGAAAACCAGTCATCTCCTCAAGGTCATCAGTCTGCCGTGTTTTAAAGTATGGAAGGCTAAATAGACGCTGGTTTAAAATCACCGAACACCTTCAGCCAGTCCTGGTGGTACAAGATTCTCATTCCAGCTAGTCTAGAGGTTGAGGCAGGAGGATTACAATCTTAAGGCTTACCCGATGACTTAGCAAGACCTTGTCAGCCATCTACATATGTATTCAAGTGTCCACAGATCAAAAGATGGGGGAAATACTTCTGCATAACCATATAAAGACTCTTTTCTCTTCCCCACAAAACACAGTATAACTATTCATGTTGTGTTAGATATTAGGAATAACAAGAGGTAATTTTTGTTTAGCTTTGGGGTTTTGGTGGTATTTGCGATGGAGTTTATTTTAGACTCGCTCTGTAGACCATTGGCCTAGAACTCAGGGATCCACCTGCCTCTGCCTCCCAATGGATGTACCACCATGTCCTGCTAGAAAGGTGATTTTGAAAGTATACAGGATGGTATGTGGAGGGTGCTCATAGGCTTATAAGCAAATACTGTACCATTTTATAGAAAAGATTGGAAGAACTGAGGGTTTGGGTACCCACAGGGAGTTCTAAAATCAATCCTCCAAGGATATTGAAGGACTATCTAATAATCAGCATCTTCCCTAACTCCCTTAAGAAAAATGAAATCGAGATTCCTTGTCCCACCCCCAATGCCAGCCCACCTGTATCTGTATCCTCCATCACCCACCTCCGTCCTGGGCCTCTGCACATGTCCAGGTATTCCAGGCCAGGACGGGAGTGGGGGGTCCTCTCAGACACTTCTCCAAACAGCCCTTTCTTGTCACCAGGGCTTCCACGTCAGTCTCTGTCTTAGTGACTTTTCTCATGGCTGTGACCAAGTGCCTAACAAGCCTGAGAGGAAGGGTTTATCTGTGCTCGTAATTTGAGGGTCAGTCCATCATGCTAAGGAAGTCATGACAACAAGGCACTATAGCAACTGTGTTTAGTCATCAGGCAGAGAAAGATGAATGCCGGTCAGTGCTTAACTCCCGTACTTCCTGAGGGCAGCCCCCCACCCCAGTCTGCTAAGATGTGAGTTCCTCTTTCCCAGCAAAGACCAGCATTGGCACACAGGGAGGAAACATAATAAACATCCCAGAGATACTCTCAAGCATGGGGTGAGGCAGCACTCTTGGGGCTCTGGACTTGACAGCTTTCTTTTCTCTTCCAGAGCCAATACAAGTTTGTGTGTGAAGCGATTCTTCGAGTGTATGAAGAAGGCTTAGTCCAGAGGCTGGATCCCAGTTAAGACAGCTGTGAAGCGGCCATTCCTCCATCCCTGGGGCAACTTCCTGAAGAAGGGGGCGCCCTTTTCCCTGGAGGCCCCCGGAGATGCTGGTCACTGTGGGAAGGGATGAGCTTATTGGAACTCGGGCACTTTAAATTCAAATTTCTGTGGAGAAGATACCTTGTACATAGGACCTGCTGACACAGATATGCATGCCGCTGTGACATCTTTGGGCCCAGAGAGAGAAGCCGCAGGGGATTTCCAACTGGGAACTGTGTTTCTCCCTCCAACATCACCGCTCCCCATCAGCCATCCTCAAGCAGTGAGAGGGGACGCCATCAGTACTGTTGACTCTCCTCTCGCCAGAAACCAATGTGGCTACTTGTGGTTGCTCAGGTGTTTTGTGTGTTGATCTGTGTGGGACTGACTCCAAGGGCCGAACTTCCTTGGCAATTGGTGGCCATTACCCCTGACACCAGGGGAAACTCAGATGAATGTACCATAGGCAGGGCACAAGGGACTCCAGGCTGGAGGATGAGCAGGGTCTATTCTGCCTTCCATCCCTCTGCCTCATCTCCACCCCTTCTGAGCTCGTGTTCCAAAGCACCCCATTCCCCGACCCCCGAATTCCTTTCTTCAGGATCACCCCCAGTGCCTGAACCGGTTTCGTAATGTATGTTCAGGTGGCTTCTCGGCTGAGACTGGGAAGTGGCCTCTGCCTAACGCCGAGTCTTAGCTTTAGAAGCAGGCGAGCCTCTGCTCACCCTTACTGTTACTCAGACGCTGTGACTGGAATCGCCGACTACTGAATCTCTATGTGGATTGCTGCTACTTCAAGCTCTCACACTTGAAACAAGACGATTTTCCTGGGGACGGGAGGGACGGGAAGCATCCAGATATCCAAATAGCATCCAGAATTTTTGAACCCTTCTGAGAAAAGAACTTGTAGTAAGTGACCATAAGAAACACTGCTTCTTGAGGGTGGCGTGTGTGTGCGTGTGTGATGGGTGACCTTTCTCAGGATTCCTGACTTGATTCAAATTACTGTTGAGTTTATGTAAAGAATGAATCTCTGTACAGAACAAATGTGTGCATTCATCCTTAGTTACAATGGTCTCCATTTCATTTCAAAGGAGAGAATCAGACTATCTGAATATAAACACAATTTGATGTTAATTTATTCTAAGTACTCTGGGATGTTGATTGTCCTCAAGAATTCTGCTTTTGTGAATACCATGGTTAAAAAAAAATTTTTTTTTAATTTTTGGCAGGATTGTAGCGAATTATTATTTAAGGAAAAATAAATTACATGTATGCTTTAAGGTGGTATTTTTAAATAGCAGTTTTTGTGTATTCAGAAGAATGTCAGCAGGTTTCTTAGTGGTACTTATGGGAAAGGGACACTTGGGTGTTATCGTGGAAGTGGGTGAAGCTACATTGATACTTACCAGGCCCTGAGCCAATTAAAGCAAGGTGTGTAGGGACTGTGCAGAGGAGCCCAGGTTTCTGAACGTTCTTTATGTTCTGAACATTCTTTAGCTGTAGGTTCAGCGCCTCCATCTACTTCCCTCCTGCCTGTCTTTTATCCACGCACATCTTACTGCTCAATGGTGTGAGTGGGAGGATGCAATTCCCAGTGCCCTATGTAATGAGAAACTGGGCTGGGTCTCTATTCCACTCGGGGCCAAGTTAGCCCTCCGCCTAGGAACCTGGGAGCTGTGTCCGTGCTTCCTTCTGCGTAAGATAATGAGATCCGATACTTGGAACTTGAAGGCAGAATGAGATCATACTATGGAAATTAATTTCCGGCCACTGGAATATTTAAGCGAGTGCTACTGAAGACTTAGGGAAGTTGACTTCTCTGTGGTTGACCCCAAAATGCACCAGAAATATGGAACCCAGTGAGTTTTCATAGGGCGGTGTTCCAGAGGGGAAACGTTCAGAAGACAGAGGAGTGATACCTTTCTTCAGCCTAGATTCTGAGAATACCCTCAGCAAAGCACCAAAAAGAGGAGGCGCAGAGAATGCTGGGTGCATTGCAGGGGAGTCAGGCTGCTCAGCAAACCACTGTTTGATTGAAATGTTTATCAACACCCTGTGTGCAAAGCCCTTGCAAAGACTCAGTGTCCTTGGAGATTGTTCTATGATTTTCTAGAAACCGGCTGTTGAATGTGGTCAGGAAGACGCTGCTGCTCCACTTACATAATCGTCCGGGAAGCTCGAGGAGGCTGCAGCTGGCCTCTCTGCCATTGTGTGGGGCCAGCAGTTCAGACACAGCAGACAGCGCCAGAAACAAAGTCCCTGGCATCCTGGGAAGGGCAAGACGAGAAGATAATAATCTCAAGGAGCAGGACCCCCAAGTGAACGGGGTCAGCATTACCAGTCACAAACCAAAGCTCTGAGCTCCCGTTCCCCTGCATCCTACACTTCCACAGCTGCTCTTAAGAAAACATGTTTCATCCCGAGAACTGCATCAGAATCAGGCTAAATATTTTGCCTGGGAGATTTGGCTGGATGTGAATGGAGAAGATATTTATAGCCCATATTCTAGCACCTTCTAGAAGATCATATCAGACGCCCCAATGTGCTGGCTTCATCCGGATGGGTCCCCTGCTGGCATCGCTCTCTAGAGCCCATACATGGTGAGAAATATTCAGAGAAGCTTGTTTAGGGGTAGGGAGACAGGGCGGCTGGATCTCAAACTTGTAGCGGTATTTTTAGTTTCCTCCCACGGTCATTGTTACCTAAATATGCTTTGAGACTAGTGTAGCTTCTCTTACAGCTGGGTTCCTGGTTGATCTCCCCCACCACCCATCCCCAGCCTTATAATTTTTCATTTGGGGGGGGCAGTGAGTACCCTCTTCATCCTCCCAAGGTAACTAAGAGGCAGTGTCCGCAGGAAAGGTTGTAAGAGACAGGGCCTAGTCCAGACCTGGGCTGACAGATGTTTCTCCCTCCAGCCTCAGTTAATTGTGTGTCCGTGTGTTTGCTTCTGTTGAAAGGGGCTGATGACCAGATGGACGAGATGAGCTCACAAGTAGATTTCAGGGACACGCTTTAACCTTAACCAATTCCGAAGAGCTGACCTAGAGAAACACACCCTGTTTTTTTGACTTGTCCCTAAGAGGTTGTCTCAGCCCTTGTCATTGTGGAATTGTGATGATAAAGCTCGCCACCCTCCTGGTTCTTGCCTGCCATCCTAGAGCAGGCCTAGTAAAGATGGCAGAGCCCTGGTGACCTCAGCCTGGGGAAAGCACACCTCGGAGACGGACACTAGCCCTGCCTCTGCCTTGCTAGCTCTCGTATCGCTGGAGCAACCAAAGGACTGTGCTAAGCCGTGTTTTGTAAAGTATCTTGGTCGATCAGCAATATGTTTTTCTGTAAACTCGGAATGTTTTTCATTCTGACTTATTGTCGGGGACTCTACTGAAAAACAGTTTGATCAATATAAAAGCACTCAGACTATGCAACACTGTTACTGTCTGTCCACAGCTTTATTGGTACGTCTGACTATGCAACACTGTTACTGTCTGTCCACAGTTTTATTGGTACGTCTGATTCCTGCCCCTGCCCCTGCCCCTGTCAACTCAAATGCTGTCTATCCATCTCACCCTCGCTTTGGTTGTGACTTCTCAGGCAGCATTTGGCCTTAACATTCACGTTGGGTGGCCGATTTTAGTCCAGAATTGTGTTCTGCTATTGTAGAAGCCTGCACGAAGCCCTACCCTTCCTCCTGCAGGGTTGCTGAGTGGTTCTGTGATCAACGGGCTCCCAGGCTCCCCCAACCTGCTCTCCCGTACTCAGGATGCAGCTTCTACCTTGACGTCCAGACACATTCAGGTGCCAGACAGCATAACAGGAAGGGGAAGAGAAAAGCAAGACATATGTCCTTAATCCCAGGCCATAGTTCTTTCAAGGGGGTAGTTTTAGTACCAAGAAACCATACGCTGGGCCTAGGGGTGTTCATAGCTTGCACAAAGCCCTGGGTTCAATCCAGGAAATAGAAGCAGGAGGACCAAGAGTTTGAGGTCCTTTCGTTACATATCAAGTTCAAGACCGCCTTGGACTACATGACATGAGACCCTAGTGAGATGGCACACGTCCTTCCTGTCGCTGATGGCCTCAGTTCTTTCACTTTCAATGGACCTTGTGAAAAGCGAAAAGGACCAACGTTCACGCTTCTGCATCCTGCCACCGTTTTCTCTGCTGCTGTGGCCTTATTATGTAGCCTTATCTTCAGGGTAGCACAGAAGCCAATTTCATCATGTGTATTTTTGCCATTGCTGACCCACCAAGTCCATTGAGCCCCTGGCACGTTTGTAGGTGTGGTTTGCAATGTAGTTTTTTACGTATCCAAAAGCCAAAGCAAAGGTGACTGGAGTAAAGTAGCTCACTTCTTACAAACTCGGGTCCTTGGAATTAAAATGGCTTGTGAGCCACCTAATACGGTATTGGGAACCAAACTCAGGCTCCCTTGAAAGAGCAGCAAATGCTCTTAATGTCTGAGCCATCTAAATGGCTGAGCCAGCCCTAAAATTCAGTTCCATTAACAGGGGAGAGGGGTGATTATATAGACACAGTTGGCAGCCTCCCCTGGAAACAACGGTCTCTTTCCATCCTCTACACCAACTTAGAAGAGTCACTTCTGGCCACAGCCAAACCCTGGCTGACCCAGGCCTTCTCAACCAGAGACAAGCACAGACAGGCCGTTGTAGGTGGCAGCAAAGGTCCCCAGAGAGATAGACCGTAGCAGAGGGGATGGAAGTAAGTTGGCATGGCTTAAACCTGTTTCTCAGGAAGGAGGGATGGCCAGTCTGCCCCATGGCTGGCAGGTGCTCAGAGGGAGAAGCTAACAACAGGACTGTTTCCGAATGGCAGCTGGATGGGATGGGTTCTGTTGAAATAGGAGCGGTGGAGCTGTGTCCCCAGCACCCCGGCCGCCTGGCTAGCTTATGCCCCGAAATAACAACACACAAACTGTATTCATTTAAGCACTGCTTGGCCCATTTCTGTCTAGCCTCTTCTCGGCTAACTCTCGCACCTGGACTAGCCCATTTCTAATAATGTGTGTAAGCACCCCAAGGTGCGCTTACCGGGAAGATTCTAGCCTACGTCCATCCTGGGTTGGAGCTTCATCGCGTGTGCCTCAGAGAGGAGCTATGGAGTCTGTCTGAGGAGTCTTACCTCACTTCCTCTTCCTCCCAGCATTCTGTTCTGTTTACTCCACCCACCTATGTTCTAACCAATAAAATGGGCCAAGCCAGTTTCTTTATTAGCCAATGACTTTCCTCCACCAGGGTTCCACAGACGGGAACTAGACACTGGGAAGAGAGGTGTTGTCCTTTGGATCTAAGTCTAAGTTAAGGCCATGTGGAGCTCCTCTCTGGAGCCTGTGCTAGCTAGCTATACATGAAATTCACTCTAGGTGATTCTTGTACCATTACTTAGATATCAATCCATTCAAATGGTGTTGGTTGCCAAATCTAGTGATTAGAATGCCCCTCTCATAGGGGTGGAGCGACGGCGCAGTGGTTAGAATCTCTAGATGCCCTTCCAGAGGACCTAGTTCGGTTCCCAGCTTCCAGTTTCAGGTGCCTCCCAACCTCCTTTAACTCATCTCCAGAGGTGCTGATGCCCCGCCTTTTCTCACACATGCTGCTCCTGCAGCGGGCCCAAGTTCTTTGGTTCTCAACTTCAGGGTATAGCCCACTGTTTCTGGGAAGTCAGGGCAGCAGGCGCTGGCGATGTTTCGTCTGCCGTCGGGGAAGAAAGAAGATCGATAAACACATGTATGCTGCCCTCAGTACTCACACCTTCTCATTCAGGATAGCACCCTCAACCCAGGTAACGAAGTCCCTCGTGTGTACCCCCACAGGTCAAACTAATCTAGACAATTCCTCACCCCGACTCCCCCAGTGTTTCTGCACAGTCTACAGTCAAGACCATCACACCATCTCACTGGGGAGATAGCTTCATATAGGAATTGGTCAGTCTGCTAGCTTCTCCTGTTCATCCTAGTTCTTTCTGGAGGCCCAGATTCTCTGACTTTCTTCTCCCCACCTCGCCTCTGGGTACCAGAGCTCTTAGAGGCTTCACAGGTGCTTGGGAGCAGGGCTCACCTGAGGCGGCGGTTGGGTTCTGAGCCTGGGTCCTGTTGTCCTCTGTTGGCCGACAGACTTGGCACATGAGCTTTCGCAGTTTTCTCTGATAATGTTCGGTCTCCAGTGTAGGTGCCCATACTTCCTCCCTCCGTGGGAGCGGAGATGCCCACTCTAGTCTTCTGTTTGTCCATAGTGCTAACTCATTTTCTTGTTCTTCGTCA